GGTTTAAGTTCTAATATAAGGGCTTCTACTTCCTCTATTATAATCTCTATAATAATATCCTTAATAATAGTATAAATTATTATATTAAATAAGAGGTTTACCTTAAGAGTAGAGGTAGTAGTTAACTTTTTTTAATTTACTAAAGTTATTTTTAAGTAGTCTTTTTTTATTTTAATTTTTATTATTCTTAAGCTTAGGAGTATTAAGGTTCTTTATAGTAAGCTACCCCTTATAGGCTATTTTAGTATAAAGCTTAAAGTATTTTAGTCTATTAATTTTAGAGTAAACCTAAGTTATTTCTTTAGAGCTTATATAAGCCTTTTTACTTATAAGAGTAAACTTAAGGTAATTATAAGTAGATAAGACCTACTTATAGTCTCTTCTATATATATAGTATAAAGCTAACTTACTTTATAAGAGCTTTTCTAAAATAAGGTTACTAGAAATTATATTATTAGATTATCTAGCTAGTATTATAAAGACTTTATTAGTATAACCTTTTAAATAAGTTCTTATAATATCTTTATAGAGAAGGTCTTTAAATATATTAATATACTAATTTATACTTTAGATTTTAGTATTAAAGCGCTCTTACTTAATAATATTAATAAGTTTTAGATTAGCTTAAAATAGAGTAAAGTAGTATTAAATTACTTAGAGGAAGGTTTTTAATATAAAGGTTCCTTATACTTTAGGTAGCTTATATTAAGAAGCTTTAAGAAGTATACTTTAGAAGTCTTTAATCTAAGTATTAAGGTTAATAGTAAAGGCTACTTAATTTAAGATTATAATATATTTTTTATAGATTATAATAAGGTTACTTAAGTTACTTAAAGTATAATATTACTTAAGAATATATATTAAGGTATAAAAGGTATAGTCTTTTTTCTCTAAGAGCTCTATTTAAGTAAGTATAAAGATCTCTTTTAAAATAATATCCTTTATCTATTTATTTAAAGCTTTATATACTTACTCCTTCTATATATACTTTATTTTATAAGCTATATATATAGTGAGATATAAAGTATAAAGTTTAAAAACTTTTATAGATCTCTTAGTGAGAAAAGTAAGTATAATTAATATAAGTAGTAGTAAGTTATTAGTAGTTTTAATAATATTACTTTTTATAATAGCTTTCTATATATTTAAAGTAGTAGGAGTAAATAAAGTAACTATTTTATTATAAGTTTTCTATTCTACTTTATAGTATTTATATTACTTCTTATTTTCCTTTTAAATCTAATTATTAAGTAAGGGTATACCTTTAATTTCGCTTAAGTTAGAGGAGGTACTAGAGGTATTATCTAAGTTAATATATTTCTAAATATTTTTAGCTTTTATTTCTACTTAAAAAGTAATATATTAAACTAAAAAGTTATAATAAGAAATAAGCTTATAGGAAATACTAAAATTAGTAGTTATTATTATATTAGAAGTATACTATAAGTTAAAAGTGATTATAAGAATAAAGTTTAAGAATTAAAGTAGAATATAATAGATATAAAATTAGATTAAATAAAGTTATAGTTTATTTTATAAATAGTAGTTTAGAAGTATAGTATAAGCTAAGCTTATAACTATTATAAACTAACTATAATATATATATAATATCTATATAAATAGAATAGCTTAATTCCTTCTAAATTAGAGTCTAATATGAAGGGTTTTTTAAGGAATAGATCCTAACGCGCTAGAATATTATCGGTCTAGATAAGTAGGTTGGAAGTAGGTCACCTCACACCTTCCTCTGAGCGTGAGGCTGCCTTGGATGCTTGAGGGCATCATAACAAGCATCATATCTAGCTTAGGAAAGTTTATGGAGACGTTTTTTACCTCAAAATCTGAAGGAGACTTGAAGATTGGCGAGATGATCCAATAACGTCCGGCATAGCAAGAGATGCGCTAACTCAACTGTAAGCACGTGCATTATCAAAGAAAACATGCCATTTGGCAAAGAAACATTGCATGTTCAACTTACTCGCAAATGAATCAAAACATAATGAAATTCCCCAAATTGGCGACGGTTCGTGGGAGAGAACGGGGGCTCCCCCGCACTAAGCCGGCAAGGGAGCGGGTCACGAACCACTGAGCCCCGAGAGCGGCCAATTGGAACCGTCATCAGGGCGTCCTTCAGCGATGACGCGATCGCCCGGCGCAAATCCGCCATCAACGAAAAACTGCCTTCACCCACACTTTGAGGCAAAAAACAGCGCAGTTCGCCAGTGAAATTTTCAGAACAGAGACATTAGTGCTACTGCACGGCTCTTATCTCGCGGGAATGCAAGTGCAAGGGCCCCGGCCCGTGGTATTGGGTCACCTTACAAAACCATCTTCGACCCTCCTTCGTCCTTTTGGTGAACTTTCCGAGCTTCCATAGTGACTTCCGACACACTCAAAGTGGTAGCACATGCGGGGAGAACGACTGGGACCATAAGATAAGGCCTTATCTTGCACGCATGTACGGATCCTTCGACTCTTCCCACCGAGGCACAATGTCGCGATACAGAGCCTATGACAAGGACGATGACGTCCCCGTCGTCGAGGACACGGGCGTTCGCGCGGCGTACACCACTGAAGACTCCACCTCGGCGGACTTTGCCTCAATCGACCCGGAGAGCGGTGTGAAGCGCGGGCTGAAGACGAGACATCTCAGCATGATGGCCTTGGCTGGTATCATTGGGCCGGGATTGCTGATTGGGGCGGGTGGCGCACTTTCCAACGGCGGACCGGCATCCCTGCTTATCGGATTTGCGGTGATTGGTATCATCGCTTTCAGTATCATGCAGAGTCTCGGCGAACTCACGACACTCTACCCGAGCGGCGGTGCTTTCACCGGATTGGCCGATCGCTTTGTCGACAAGGCGTTTGGAGTTGCGCTGGGGTGGAACTACTACATCATCTGGATGTGCGTGTTGGCGAACGAGTACAACGTTCTGTCGAGCATCTTTGTGTTCTGGAGCGACAAAGTGCCCCTTTGGGGATACTTCTTGATCTTCTGGGTATGTCAAATTGTCGATTTAGGCTATGGTTTAGCCAACTCACGATAATTAGACTCTCTTCCTCGGATTCCAGCTTCTTGGAGTGGAGGCATTCGGTGAAGCCGAGTTCTGGCTGGCTCTATTGAAGTTGATTGGCCTTGTGGCCTACTTCATCTTTTCCATTGTGTGAGTATTGAGCTCGATGGAGGTGTTCATCAACGCTGACCATTGTCCAGATACGTTTCTGGTGGAATTCCAGGACAAGATGCAATTGGCTTCCGCTACTGGCGAGACCCGGGCGCTTTCACAGATGGTTTTAGAGGTGTGGCCAAGGTCTTCGTCTTTTGCTCAACCTTTTATGCTGGTTGTGAGTCGGTAGCAGTTGCAGCTACCGAGACCAAGAACCCTCGAGTTGCTGTGCCTTTGGCTATTCGCCAGGTCTTCTGGCGCATCATCTTCATCTACATGGGCTCCGCATTCTTCTTTGGCCTAACCTGCCCCGCTAATGCCGATGAACTGGTCAACGGTGGCTCTCGTGCTGTCAAGAGCCCAATGACGGTTGCCATTCAGAACGCCGGTTGGGAGGGCGGAGTCCATCTTATCAACGCGTTCATCTTCGTCACCTGTCTCTCTGCCTGTAATAGTAGCATTTGTAAGATTTCTTCTGCTACCTGGTCGGCCACAAAAGGAAACTGCTGACATTACGCTCTAGACATCGGTTCTCGAACGCTGCTTTACATGGGCCAAGACCGCAAAGCCCCGAAGATTCTTGGCAAGACAGATAGCCGCGGAGTTCCAATCCCGGCAATCGTCTTCACGAATCTCTGTGGAGCTCTATCTATGATGAACATCAGCACTGGTGCTAGCCAGGCCTACTCGTACATCGTCAACCTCAGCGGCGTGTCAACTTTCCTTGTCTGGGGCTCGATCTCGTTCATTCACATCCGCTTCCGCCAGGCATGGAAGGCTCAAGGCCACGCCGAAAGCTCTCTACCATTCATTTCGATGCTGTACCCCTGGAACGCCTACTTTGGGCTGGCAGCCAACGTCTTTCTCGCCTTCGTTCAAGGATGGACGACTCTGTCACCTTTCGACGCTGGCTCCTTCGTGGACGCCTACATCTTGTTGCCGTTGTTCCCTCTCATTTACTTCGGCTACAAGTTCTGGTTCAAGACTCATTTCTGGAGAGTCGATGAGATTGATCTTCTCTCCGGTCGCCGTCGGGATCTGGACGAGTCGCACGAGATTGAGACGGGAGAATATGACTTGGACAGACTTCCGTGGTGGAAGAAAGTGCTCAAGAGCTTTTAGATATGATACCCTGTGTTATTGTAGAATATTGGATGGTTCCTTTTATTTCGAGTGCGATGCTCATCACTTCAAAAGTGGCGAACTCGTCATTATAGATTGCAAGATGTGCTCCTCCAATTGTGTCTGGGTAAGGACTTTAGGACTCTTTTGCGGTGTTAGAATTTGAACCCAACATTACTTCAGCCGTTGACCTCGGCTGCGCAAGAACTATTAGTTGTCACCAATGTAATTGTTAATAATGATGACTCGTCACGTCTGGGAGCTGGTGGCATTTAGTCTCATGCTAGGCTTGCTAGACCTTATTCACGCTTGATCAATAAGATATCTGAGCGAATCTTCTCGTTGGAATTCTGCGGTTTCCATATCAATCGCGTGGCCTTTCTATGGTGCCTATGACTTTATTGATAGGGATTACCAAGAGCATGAATGGCTGCTCCCATATCGACACTAAAGGCTCGGCCAAGAACCTAGAAGCTTAAAATTAGGTCAGCGTATATCACTATCAATCAACAAGCGGCGTTTTCCACCAAAATTTAAGTTATCTTGATCCTCTGTAGCTAGCCATGTAGTCACTAACTATACAGTGTATGAATATAAATGTTGTCACATGCACGCACGGCAGAACGTTGTTGTTGTTCTTCCAGTCCGTCCTTGCCTGGTTCAAGTTTCCTATGCCCAAATCTCCAATAACCAGAGATCTCGTCCACGGCCTTAAGCCTCAATCTGGAGGGTCTGGAACTCGGCGGGGACGGCGTCGGCACCGGCGCCAGTTTCGGCAATCTTCTCCTTCAATCGGGGCAAGCAAGTCAGCATCTATACCAAGTGCCATACACATTGTCATTCCTCTTCCAGAGCTCCAGTGGAAACTCACCAACTCCTGAACCTTCTCATCCGCCAGGTCAGCGATGTTGTAAGCGGTGCCGTCCGCGAGGCCGAGCACATCAGGCTTAATAACGGCCTCGCATTTTCCGGCACCGGGCTGCTCGGCGGGGCAGGACAAGTCGTCGGCGCGCTTGCGATTGAGGAACCAGTACTTACCCCCGGTACGGTCGCCCCGGGTCGTGTACGGCAGGCAGATGGTGGTGCCACCGTTAGAGTCATACTGACCCCCGGTGAAAGAGCAACCGCCGCCGGTATAAGCCTCAGCGCGAATGCGCCAGTTGCTCGGGATCTGCTCGCCATCCATTAGTTCTGAGGCTTTTGTGAGCTAAGAGAAAGAGGTTTCACGCACGGCAACCACAGAGATGCTGGACCTGCCGCTGGAGCCTGAGCTGCTGAACGAGCAGCACACGTTGGGGTTGATGTTCACACAGGCCACGTAGGCCCCGGCGCAGCTGCTGCCGATGTGAGCCCTGATGTCGATGGCAGATGCGGTGGCCGCGAGGCTAAGGAGGATCGAAGAGACGGAAAAGTACATATTGGATATGTGCGGTGGTGGGTTTTGGTGTGATGCTGCTTAGTTTGAAAGAACAGGAGCTGATGGCAATGGAGGGAGCAAAACAGGATCGTCTCGAAGAAGAAATCACCTAGCTTTATACTGTTTCTTGAACATGTTGTCCATCCTTCAACCTCTCCCATTCTGAGCAAGAGAAAGAGACGTCGATACCTCAACTCAGCATCATTCAATGTTATGCGAGGCCCCTCCCGTGCCGTCTTACCACCTTGCAGATGGGGCGTCAGCTGGTTAGACATCGCTCGAGGTATCACACGCATCTATGGACAAGTGAGGGTATCGCCATCGCCCGAACCAAAGTTTCGTCACAGCCCGCTCGCAGCCTGCGGGGCTCTTTCTCTAGGGCACAGAATGGACTATACAGATCTTGAGGTTCCTTTTTCTGAGCTATTCTCATCTTACAATACAGTTTCTCTTTATGTCAAGACCACAATCATTTATCCCAATTAGTATCAATTTGTGCGTGTAGTCTGACAAGTGCCTGACTAATAATGAGAGCTGCTTAGGTTCTTTTCTCCCCGACATGCTTCTCATTTATCGGCTTCTTGGCATCAATACTTGAACTGCAAGTTAAGAATGATTGCCGTTTTGGGAGCCCATAGCGCTTACGCCGAGATGTTCCTCATTGCATCTCTTTCTCGACATAGACCAGCGGTTTGCCCAGACGTATACGATGTGACATTGCAGCCGATGGATTGTCAGCCTAGAACCCAACCCCGCAATTTCTGCACCTGAGACCTGTAAGAAGACAGCAAATGAAAAGTTCCACCTTCATTCAGCTTACTGTGTAGGTCAATTTAACCCATTCGAGTTGTTACGGTCCGAGAGGTAAGCAGACAATAAGTCAAACGCCTCAGCCTATGAGACTCAAAGCAGCTTACTATGTAGGATGTTTTAGTCTATTCAACGGGCGGTTTGTTGCAACCCATACTGTAAGCATAAGCAACAGAGAACGATCCACAAAGATACTTGGCAGTTAGTTTTGATTGAGCTGATTGATTGAGATCCCATTATCCCACTCGGTCCGGCCCGCCCCACTCCGCCAATCAAAACCATAGACCAGCTGCACTCAAGTTCCCGCTTTGCATCTTAACCTCTTTCTACATTTAGTTGGTTCTCTTCTGACGTAAGTCATGTCGTAGGTTCTGTCGAGACCTGGTGCATCATACCGTGGTTCTGTGTACCCACAGTCTCCCACTAATGGTCAGCTTTGTCTGGGTTGTGACGCGATTCTGAATTGCCCAAGGATCTCGGTCTGTTCCATGAGTCCGACGGCTTTCGTGGCTGCCTTACGCTCGCTCAATACAGCCTGGACTTTATGTCGTCCTGGAATGTTTGCAAATACCCGGAGTCGGAATTAGTCGGGATTATTGGTGCCTACAGTACCAATGCATTATACAATGGGCAGTATCGTTTGTCGCCCCTCTCGGATTTAACAGATAGCCTTCGGCAAACGTCGCTTGGGTTCGATATTTTCTGTGCAAATATGCATAAGAGCTGAGCTCTGTCGTTTGCCCAGCCCCTCCCTCATGGAGGTACAGCACCTTCTTAGTTGGTGTTGGTGTGTGGCAAATGGTGGTTCTGTCTCGCTTCTCTCTTGCCCATTCGACCTGCCACGCCTGGTTTGTATTTCTATACGTCTACGTCTAGGAGTGAGGATAGCTTCTTTGATATGTCCGATCTGGTGCCCGTTTGGCCGTCCCTTCGCCATCATGCGGCTTCTTCGGTGGCAGTGTCGCCGTCTTCGTTGCTCTCCATCCCCTTTTGGGCGGGTACCCATCGGGTACCAAGGTATATGCTGGAGCCTCAAAGTACGTCTATTCGATATACAGAAAAGCTGTAGGTTAAGGTGGAAGAGAAATTTAATGAGCTCCGCGTGCAATGTTTATATTTGGGGGCTAGCAGGCTCTCCTGCTCGTAGAGACGGCCACGCATGCTTTGCTTTCTCGGTTTGGCAGTCTTGTCTAATCAACTCTCATATCAGTTGAAGGCCGAGCCATACCCAGTTTTAGTATTGTTATCAATGTGCAAGACCTCCACGAAACCTGGACCGGCAGTACTTGTCTCCCGCGATGCCAACATGCGTCTCATCTGAGTACCATCCTGTCTGCCAGGCGCCGATCCCCAAACGAACTCCTCAATCATACGCAGCTGCATCGGGATGTGGTCGTCGCCACAGTGCTGGATGACATCTGCCTTGCTAAGCTTGGTTTTGAGGCTCGACCACCCACCCGCATCAGCAGCCATGGCCTCGCACTATCATTGCTTCTCATCATTCCACCAAAGCGGCAAGAGCCTGCCATTGACTGATCTCCTTGCCGTCTCCAAGAAGCGTCGGAATCCGGCTTTCCCATCGCTAGACCGAGAGACGTAGATGGAGTCTGGCTCATGATACCGACGATCTTGGCGTCATCTTCCATGCGAAGGCGATAGTAGTCGATGAGGATCTTGTAGACGTCCTTCTCGGGGTGGTTGTGCAGGAAGGTGCGCTTCTCCAGATTCGTGAAAGCATTCATGATAGGCGCCTCCAGACCGCGGCTTGGGGTCGGCCTGGACGGGTTCCAAGCTGTTGATGACGACGGTGGCTCCCGACCGTAGGTAGTGTACCTAGGTGGCTCAGAGGGATTGGCGGTGCGAGTCCGAGCGCATGACTTCTTGTGATTCTTCCAGTGAAGATTCTGGCAGCTCTTGGAGCATACTTGACGTCGCAGCGGTCGCACTCTGCTGCTTCGTCCGTGATATCCTTCTTGCACTTCTGACAAGCTTTTGCCATGGTGAATCGACGAAGGAGGTGTTTATAACGAGATCCAAGGGTCGGTTTTTAGTGAGGTGGGTGGTGTTCTGTTTACTACCTCATCGGCGAACTGAATTGCGGGGTTGAGGCTTAACATGATGAGGCAGTATCGCAAACGGATCGGAACATCTCTATTCACATCCCCTGCCCAATCGAATAGCTGATTGATCAGCCACCAATGATAGCTTAGTCATAGACGGGGCCGTGTCTCACATCTGCGAATAGCTTCATGATTGCCACATTGGGTCACGTAAGTAGACGCGCAGCCAGCCTCACAAACGACATTTGGCCAGCGCGTTTTCTCGGCTATCGATGATTTCATCTTTTCTGCTTATTAAACACTATATGGTATCTTAGGGATAAATATAAGAAAATTATTTTGAGTAGTATACCGCCACATATTGTGCCTCTAACGTCCCTCCCGAAACCGTACTGGCAATTGGTGTCTTTGATCCGTAAATTGCATCTGGGAAGCTCCCACCCATTGCCATATTAAGCAAGACAAAGTGAGCCTTTTGGGTGGTGTTTGCCCAGACAGCCGCTGGAAGTTGTGTCTGGGTGACACTATGAAGCAACTGGTCGTTTACATACCACCGGATAGCCTCTGGAGACTTGGTTCTATCGACCTCAACGGTGTACGTGCGAAAAACTCCAGAACAGGGGGAGTTTGCGGGACAGTTCTTGTTGTTGCCTAGTCCGCTAGGCTCATTGCATGGTCCACCTGGGTTGGTGCCGCAGTGCAGGACAGCCCAGACTCGATTGACGTTGTTGACATTCTCCATGATATCAATCTCGCCGACTGATGGCCAATTCCTGGACACGTTGTGAGCTTTCAGGTCACGAGCTGCAAATGACTAAGACTCACCAGTAGTTGCCACGGTAAGCGGCACCCAAAGTCCAGAAAGCTGGCCAGTAACCGATTCCTCCGCCACCTAGATTGGGAAGCTTCAGACTGGCTTGAACACGCATCTTCTTGCCTGCTGGAGCCATGAAGGTCTGCTTGGTTTCAATTCGGGCGGAAGTCCATGCGCCTTTTGCGTCTTTGATCGCGGTAATCACCAGGTTTCCCTGGCCGTTGGTGGCGACATTGCTGGGACGATTGGTGTAGGTTTGGACCTCTCCGGTTCCCCAGTTTGCTGGGCCTCCAGGGTAGCTAATATCATTGTTAGATAACATTTTTACGGCATTTGAAGGGTTCAATGGCATCTCACCTGGTGCCGGTATCAATGATCCAGTTTCCACTGCTAGGAAGTGCACCGCGAGATCCGGTGAAATCATCAAACCAAGTCTTTGAAAAGCCAGCGATATCTGGGACCTGTGCTTGAGCAACAGGCAATGCCAGAAGGATGGCTGCCGTGAGATCAAAGGTGCGCATGGCTCTATCGGTCTTGGGTAGCTAGTTCGCTGTTAGCCTTGTAGATCCATATTTCGTGGCAGCGGGGAGAGCGAACAGTGTTAGGCAGGTACCTCCTGTCAGATCGCAAGCCGGATGCTCTCGATAGTCCGAAGGAGTGACAAAAACACAGGTCTTTGGGCGAGTGAATGGAGAGCGTCAACAACGGTGTGTGCTGTGACTATCACGAAATCTCTGAGTCCCCAGCCCGGGGCTGACCTCGATTTATCAATCGCATCACGGAGCTACTCCGACAGCAGCCATTCCCATGATCATGGGCCGGAACTTGCTCAGATTGGGTGGCAAGGTGTCCGCGGGCCTGTCTAGACCCGGAGCTCTACGTTAGGAAGAGCTAGCTACACCGAGCTGTCGCGTGGCGCGGTCTGGACTTTTCCGGAATTGGGCTGTTCGCATTCTCGCCAACATTATCGCACCCATTCAGCTGGGAAGCCCGAGCCGCTAGCCGAGACTAGTTGTCGCTCTGAGACATCTTCGACAGCTTGGCCGACAATCTTTCCCCAAAGCCCTTTGGTTCTGCACGGGTGAGCTTCCGGGAAAATTCGTCGAGCGGCCGTGACTGGAGGCGGTGCTCATTATTGAGGCACTAGGAAAACCCCGGTAGCGATGAGCGGGTTGGCGACGTCTTTATCTTCACGGCATCTACCTTCCGGCGGTGTTTGTGAACGGAGCAGGAGGCAAGGGAGAGTCACTGGCACATCGCAACGGTTTAAGGGGCCGAGGAATTTGCACCGATGACTATGTTTACTTCTGGCTCTATTTACAAAATTCCTGGGAATTCCTCAACGTCATAGCTGACGACGTCGTCAACACCGATTGGGATCTTTCGCCGTCGCACAGATCCTCATATAAGATTGCGCGAAGACCTTCAGTCATGGCATCTATGACTGCTGATTCAACGGAAATGGCGTGGTATTTAAGACCAGGGGTTGTTGGAGGGTTCAAACCCTGAAAGTGTTGTGGAGTTACGAAGAATCCCCGCTCCCCTTGGAGATTTCCTTCAAACTTCGGTATGTCATGGGACCAGGAGAGCATGTTTCTGAACTGAACATCGATCCACATCCCTATGTTCAGGTCGAATGACTTGAGAGCCGGCATCGAACGCATTGCGAGAAAGATGGAAGTGAGTAACGGCGTCAGGAGCTGAGAATTAGTGGAGAGAAGACAAATGGGACCGCTCGGGTTTTCTATTCTGTTAGTGAACCGGGCTGAAAAGCTCAATTGTGGGCAGAACATACCGTCCATGTATCCTTCATGCGGGCATGGTATATCGTTATAGTAGGCCTGTCCGTCAATAGTTATGCTTCTTAATCTGATTGTATACCAACTTAGACATGGCCAAATCTCTGTTTCCATGCCTATCACCCGCTCGGGAAAGAAGAATTCGATACCTAGGGCGTGATCTCCCAGACTCAAATTGAAAAGTGCCATTGACGGTAGTTGAGAGATTCGACGAAGGGCAAGACTAAGAGGATCGGCGTTTTTGGAGGACGCCATGCAGTCTTTCTCAATCACCGTAGTGGAAGACTTTCCAAGGTGGCAGAATAGGGCGAATTGATCGACTGACGAGAACGGGGTTGCGTTCAACGCTCTCGCCAACGCATCTCTATACTTCATTGGGGAATCTTCCGTTTGCTCAGCACGAGAATCCATACAAAGTCTCAACTTCGAAAACCCTCGCATTGAGCGGAGCAACGATCTAATCGCTTCCGGATCGAGTAGGTACCCTTGGTAGGTGAAACTTTCGATGCATCCCAGTGATGGAATCTGCCGGTTGGTTTCCCCGGAGAACTTGAGAGATTGACCGCGTCTGGGAATGTACTTAACCTCTCTCGGATCGCGCATCCAGTTGGGAACTGTATTAGAGTCCCATGCACTCACATCAAAATCAGCAGGGATACCCGGTGCCGTGATGTGGACGATTAAATGTATGCTGCTTTCAAGCTCTTGCTCCCATGAATGCAAAAGTCTCATGAGAGATAACAACTTATCGGTGAAGGCTTTGTTGTTTTTGGACGCCTTATACTCGAATTCAGTCTCATTATCGTGATCATTCAGAACCTCCGGGAGTCTGATGTAAACAACCAAAAATTCCAAGCAGGCACGGCGGCGCGAGCGGTCGTACCGAGCGTCGAGCGACTTGTATCCACCTTCATCAGTATAAACAGTGGCGTCGGCTAGAATCTGCTCAGTTGAGTGGCGCAAAGCCCTGTTCACGCTCTCGAAAGCCGCGAAGTCGGAGGGCTCGAGGTGCTCGGAAATTGTGGTGATGATCTCCAGTGGTAACGTGTCCATCTCGCTGGCAAAAATGCTGCTTTATCAACTTTATCTGGAGAGACATTGAAACTTGATTTCGCAGTGTGTTTGATTTCGAATTGGAGGTCAAGAAGGTGTGTCAAGAGGGTTTTATACTTTTGGGACATTGAAGTCACGACCTAGTGAATCGACGCGGAACACCGTGATATAAATGATGGCGGTAAATCACTGTTTGACCAGACAAGCGTGATTTCACACCATATCTCAATCGAGTGCATCATGTCTTTGCCTAAGGGCAAGCGCCTCGCCAAAGCGGTGCGAAGTTCATAGTGCGTGAGTTGCCCAAGCGAAACCATCAAAATGCAAGCGCAACTGTGAAAACCACACATTTTGAATGGAGATATAGAGCCTTGAAACATGCGATAAATAGCTGCTTTGCACAATAAGTTGTTTGATACGTCGTTTTTACATGGCTTAAATAGGTAGGTATATGAACTCGTCGCATGGGTTCCTGGACGCCACTTTGAATGAAAAAACCAATTTCATAGTCAGCACCGCAGTTCCGAGGCTTGAAGCTCAATATGTATCAACTAGTGGAAGTTTCTAGTCCAGATCTTCTTATTTAAACAGGGAATTGTGCTCAAATGTCATTGAGTCTCATCCGCCTTACTAAAGGCAAGGGGTTGTTGTTATTGTCGCACTGGCTTCCGCATGTCTTCTCTCATCGGAGATCCGCAATGGGATATCGGCATTACCCCTTTTGGCTTTTCCGAGATGCGCCGCGAGCCGCACTGAGGACATGTGTCTCCGCCGACCTGCAGAACCCCGCAACCCCACAAACATCGTCCGAATCCATGTCCGTAAACACGAAGTCAATGTTGGGAAGACCTCATTCAGTGTCCACAAACTGCCATGTTCAAGTTCATCAACACGACGGATGGCCGTCCGCAAAAGCGCAAACAAGCGCAGCATGCGTGCGAGACGTGTCGGAAGCGCAAGGTCAGTCCAACGAGGCCCACTCAATGGCCCTCGCTAATGCTCGCGCCGCAAACATCACGGGATGGCCCTCTTGCTGGAGCCGATGTCAATCGGCCAATCGGAGCGCATCTTTCTCTGATGACCGCCGTCGGGATGTTCAGAAAGAGTAAGCTGACTGAGGGTTAGAAACGATGTGAGCATCTAGATAACGCCGTTGCGTCTCCGCCCAAGACTCCCGATTCGGAGTCGGCGCGTGGCACGGCACGCCCGAGGCCAGCGCGGCGGCCCTCGGATGCTATCTCGGCCGCTGTCCTGGCCGTCCCGAGGCCAACGCCGGCTCAGGCCCGGCCGCCGCCCAGTCCAACAACCACGGACTCGCGAGATCGATCGCGTCGATCTGTCGACGCCCAAGAACCTCCGTCGCGTCACCAGGCGGTTGATGACGACCACGGTCAGCATGACGATGCCCGGTTCGTCGGCGATTTAAACCCTGAAGGTGCCTTTCTCGCCGACAGCCCGGGAACAAGCCGCGGATATGCAGAGTCAAATTCCGTAGGTGTCTGGTATTCCCGCCGAAATGTGAGGGGCAACGAGATCAGCACAGAAGTGGCATCCGCTGTCTCAGCTGATCATGCCGAGCACCAATTCCTCGCTGTTCTTCCGAGGAGGGCCTACTACGAGAAGCTAGAGAAGATCTACCTCCGTGATGTCCACAGGATATTCCCCGTCCTCAACCTAGATATTCTGAAAAAGCCGGTCTCAACCACATCGCAAATTCTCTGTAAACAAGCCATCTGTCTGGCCGCAGGGTCCAGTCCCAGCGCCAAGCCATTCCTGAGTCTCGGTGAAGACTCAACAATCATTCTGACCTACCCAGAATTTGCCCAGCGATTATCATCCGCCATTCGCAAAGCCATCGGTCTGGGATTGGTAAAGGACAGAGTTCAGACAACGGCAATCCTCGTGATTCTCTCACTGTACACCCACTTCTCCGAGGATCGGCATCTTTCAGCAGAGTTGGCCGCGCAGGCTGTCAGCAACGCGCAAACAGTCGGGCTTCATCTTCAAAACCCACCGGCAAGAAACGATGACCCAGCCTACCTCACTCGCCTGTTCTGCTGTGTCTGGGCCACGGACATACTAACCGCTGCCTTTCATGGCCGGCCTGTGATGATACACGAACGCGACCTTGGCAGGGATGTACAGGCGTGCATTCGAGAGCAAGATAGCTGCTTCCGCCTGTTTCTTGACATCGTGGCATTGTTGGGTCGAATAATCGATCTATACCGTCCGGCTCAGAAGACTTCGAGTTGTCTTGTCATGGAAGATCTCCCCAGTTTTGAGTGCCTGGTTGAAAGAGCCCATGCGCTTCGCGTCGATTCTCGACTGCTGGGTAAGTTGATCAATGGCGAGATCACGGGACGCTTTCAGCTGACCATGGCCAGGATCCCTTGAGCTTTTGTACCATGCCATCGCCATTCTCTCTTGCAGAGTACCGGTTGGGCCGTCGCCATCTGAGCACGCATCCTTAGCATACACGCGCCAATCCCTGTCCGCCATCAAAGTAACCACCATTGTGGAAGATTTCGGCGCCTCTCTATCTTACATGACATTTGTGCCATACGCCGTATCATTATCGTTGAGAGTCGCTTATCGGGAACTTCGATCCTGTAAAGTTCCGATGCTGACCGTCAGATCTCGACGGCAGCTCCAGGCAATTTGTCGAATACTCAGAGATCTTGGCGGCATGTTTCGATCGGCGTTGGTAATGGTCGATCTCGCTGAGCAAGTCCTCCAGGAGATGGATCAGGTCTGCTCAAATGCGGCCAACAAGCAGGATGAACAGGGGGCAAACGGAACGAATGCAGCAAACACCCCTCATCAAGAAGGCGCGCCTGATCAACAAGGGCCCGAAGCTGGAAACAACACCGTAGTTAGCACATTTCCAGAGCAGCAAGGGGACCTGATAGCAACTTTCGACCCATCTTTCTACGAAGGCCCTGCAGGCCTCGACGTTTTCGAATACTTCGATCCTAGCTTCGACCTCAATGCCATCGACGCCATCTTGGGAGGTGATGCACCTCCTGAATTCGGCAATATGGCACCCATGCCGTAAGTTGGCCACTTGAGTTCAAATAGGAGATACTCCAGTCATACAGTCGATTTCTCGGGAGAGTGCCGTATCTTTGAGCGTTCAATAAAAGAAAAAAAGTTAGCTAGAAGAAAACTTCGGGGAGGGAAAGGTTTTAAGCACCGATGGGAAATCAGAAACAGCTGTAGAAGAGAAACAGTGGTCACCCTTAGTCCAATCTCCAAGAGAAACCATGATACCAACTGCTGGGCAGATTGCTTCCGATCCCGCAAGGCGGCGCCTGTCGGAGATAGACCCAACCCCTTGCATATTCATCACTGGCTGACCCAAGCACTTTCCCACTAGGCAAAATAAAGATGGTGTCTAAAGCACCCACATGCCGCTTCTAATAGATATAGCCTGAGATAGCTGCCCAACTCCGACTCTGGTCTCAGACCTCCTTGTCGGAGGCGGACTGCCAGAAAAGGAAATTCAGGCGCCCGCTTTCACACCAGACACCCGGCAGTCAGGATGATTTCCAGCAGCATGGAAAGGTGTAATCTCTATTGGCTACCACATTCCTATTCGAATTAAACTTTGACTCCGCTCTGTCAATATCTGGCGCTCCCCATGGGGTCTCCGCGAGACCGTCTGGGCGGAGTCACGATGTTAACCAGTCGCATCAGGGGGACGGCAGGTATTGTCTGGCCCTTTTTAGCCATATAAATACCCAGGCTTCTTCAGCTCTTGCCAAATTACTAAAAGTTCGGTTGCACAATTCTCCCCCTTTCAATCTTCGTCCCGTTCTTGCATTTACTACTTCATGGCAACTCTCAACATCGATATTAGCTGGAGACAGCACAAATGGCCCCTCTTCTACTGTCTCGTTTCTCTGATCGGAGCTTTTGCGTATGGATATGATACTATCTACTATACAGGTATTCAGGGCATGGCTCCCTTCATCCGAGACTACGGACACCAAAAGCCTGATGGCACCTACGAACTTGGAACGACGTTTCTCTCCGTCACGGCCTCTCTAATCTACGTTGGAGAGTTCTGTGGCGCCCTTTTCACGGCTCCTATCAACGACAGATGGGGACGAAAGGCTGTCTTTGCATCAGCATCTGTCTGTATCGTTGCCGGAGCCATCGTCCAAGTCTGTTCCTTCGGTAACTACGGCGTGTTTTGCCTCGGACGCGTTCTGATCGGTCTGGGCATCGGCCAGTTTACCGCAACGTGCCTCATCTACATCAGCGAAGTTGCGCCAGCACAGATACGCGGCCCGGCTCTCATGATGTTCCAGTTTATGCAGTCATGGGCCCAGTTCGCCGTGGCATGCATCACTCAGGGGACATCAAACATCGATAACGCCGCTTCCTATCACATACCCATGGGCTTGCTTGTCGTCCTTCCAACGGCCATGCTGATCTGTCTCCCGTTCATCCCCGAGACACCAGTCTGGTACAGCTACAAAGGCCATCACGACAAGGCAGAGAAGGCCCTCCGCAAGATCAACCGAGGCGTACCGAACTACGATGCTACCAACGAGCTCCAGCTTATCAACGAACAAGTTCGACTAGAGTTCGAGTCGACAGCGGACTCAACTTGGATTTCCCTCCTCAGCGATCCGATCGAACGAAGAAAGTTGATCTTTTCATGCGGAGCGATGTTTGCCCAGCAGATCAACGGCATACAGTTCTGGTACACATACGGGGTGGTCTTTGCGCAATCAATAGGGGTCGCGCAGCCTTTTACTATCAACACCATTACCAACGTCATTCAGATTTTCGCTGTGGGAGCTTCGGTGCTATTGGGCAATAAGATTCGCCGCCGAACGAACCTCCTCATCTGCACGTTGGGCATGTTTGTCTCTCTGATTGCCGTCGGCGGACTTGGCACGACCAATCCCGGCGGCCCATTCTCCGAGGGTGTTGGGACCGCCATTGTCGTATTTGCATACATCAATATTGTGTGCTTCAACTTTTCCATCGGAACCTTGTCGTACACCATCGCCTCTGAGATGGCGGTTGGCCGGAACCGGAACAAGATCACCGCATGTGCCATTGGGGTGTTCTTCTTCACAGTCTGGCTGATGGTCTTCGTCAGTCCATATCTTTACTACACTGCTAATCTGGGTCCGATGCTTGGCTTTGTGTATGCTGGAACGACTCTCTTCACGCTGGCATACGTGTGGTTCTGTGTGGGAGAGACGACCGGCCGGACAAATGCAGACATCGACCGGTTATTCTCGGAGAAGATTCCTGTAAGAATGTGGGACTCCTACATTTTCCAAAATGCAGAGGCGAAGAGTGATGGGATAGTTGAGCAGGTTGAGACACATGGAATGGTGCAGAAGTCGATGGCATGAGGGCATGCATTCACGCTAGCTATTTAAGAACGGCACAGACAAAGTTAAAAGAGAATTATTGAGCTCTATCAATTTGACTTCCATGTACTGTCCTTAATGCGTCACTTCAATCTATTTCATGTTCTAATGGACAGCCGCCAGGACTCCAGGCTGACCAGTGCTAGGCTTTCCCAAAACACTACCAATTCGAGTTGCGTCTGCAAATTGTCTTGTGATAGAATGAGGAATTGGCGTCGGGCCCTTGGGGCTGACACTGGCATTTGTTCCAGCTTGATGGCAAGCTTTCGGTCCATACTCTGCTGGGTAGTCTACACGCGTGTGCATGGTGCTCCAATTGTCCCACAAGAGTAGATCCCCCTCCTCTTCAGGAGGTACTAGGATATACTCTGGCTTTAAGATTCGTGACTGAATGTCAATCAAGAAACGACGAACCTCAGAAAGCTCGGTAATGACCTTGGGTTCGTCGGCTGCACTTCGACGTAAGTAGAGCTTTTTGGCGGCGTTGGCCTGGACTTGAAAAGACTTGCGGCCGGTCTCAGGGTTCACCCATACCATCGGGTACTGTAAAAAGTTGAGTGTCGGTTTGGCAAATGCGGGATCCTTGTCTTCCTTACCCTCTTGATTTTAGAATGGTCTACTCCAATGGAATCGAAATCATTGTCAGACAGTTCCCTGCCCTGGCTGACAATGCCAAGTCCGGTCGGAAACATTTTGCAGTTTCGATTCCACTCGTAGGGCAGCGCCGCGTACTCAACCCAGCTGTTGTCGACAACTTCCCTCTCTTCTTCAGTAAGAAGCTCCTCATACAGCTGCGAGCAACAGAAGAATGGCGTGAGACCAGGTGCTGATCTCATGCTCAAGCCCGATCCGTTATCCCATGCGATGTTAACATCAGGCCCTTTGGGCAGCTTAATCACACGAAAGGCCGTGAAGATTGGCGGATCTCGACTGTAAAGCGGCGCATCGAAGTGCCATCCTTGAAACCTAGTATGACCTTTCTCAAGCTCTTCTTTTGGGAGAGTAGGATAGTGATTTTCATATGAGAAGGACTTGGTGATGTTGAGGTTCTTCAGCCCATAGTGGTCTTCACCGAGGAATCCCTTGCCGATCACGTGGACATTCTCAGCACTGGGGACGCCGGTCACTCCTCTCGCTTTCTGGGTGGTTATTAATAAGTGTTCCTCTATTGCGAGCTTTGTACTTACCAGAATACCTCCACCGTCTGGGTGAAAGTCCTTCATGAATAATTCTGGGTTTTGCGGCCTTGCGTTAGGGTCCAAGCGAGTGACTAGTTCCCATTGTTTGATTGGCTGGAGATTTTCTTGTCCCTTAATTATGATCAATTTGTGATCTAGAACAGCCCTTTTGAGCTCTAGAAGATCATCATCTGCAGCGGTCATGTCAATGTTACCAAACGATCCTGACTTTGTCACACGAAGGATCATACCTGATACGTTATTGATGTCGAGCTCGGTCACTTTGGCGCCAAACTGTCACTGAGTGTTAGTTATGTTTGGGAAATGAAATGCATTGGCAACGAAGTCTGACCTTCGTCTTCTTGCTGACATCATGCCGAAATGGTTCTAAGACGAAGCCCATAATTCGGTTGACTAGCAGGGTTGGCAGATGAGACTGGCAGCTTCTGACTTGTTTCCGGATTCGTTCTGATTTCTTCCTGCTTTTGATAGAAGTATACTATAGAGAATCGAAACGCGAAATCTTGAACAAGACCTTCGGGCTTGAGATCCGTGTGTTTGACAGAAAGGCATCGTTAAACGCATTCACGCGATAACTCGGTGACTACCCTTCACTTTCCCGCCATCTTTCCTTATCCAATCACAAAAGTTCCGAAGGATCTACGCCGTAAATCATTGCAGATACTTGGAACCTTAAAAAGACCGACCGCCATCAGACGAAGGCTTGCGATCGAGTGCTCGCCGATGAGGAACTTATGTTTTGAGGGGTAACCATGCATGGTGTCGTCTGATGTCTCGGAGAATCCAAGCTGCCATGACCCAGTGTTCGGATATGTTCCGATCCCCCGACAGCTCAAGAACAGCCGTGAATTTGGGAGGCAATTAATGATGCCATCAAGTTAGAAGAGTCACTCAGCAGTAGCTCAGGAGTTCAAGCCAAACTATGCCACATTGGCTGACGCTGTCAACAAGCACATGAGTGTCATGACATGGAGAGAAAAGATTATTCGAAAATCATCTTGGTTCCATAGTGCGCATGATTTGCAGTAAGATATTTTCAAAAACAGCGTAAAACTTTAGCCTAAGCTGCCTGCCTCTTTCGTACCAAGATCTTGGCATTTCTATCCATGACCACGGCAATTCCCCAATAACCAGCCTCTGGTCTCTTTCCACCACTTAGCCTCACATCGTAGTTGAGCAACAAGTGAGCCAAAATGACTTTCATCTCAGCAACTGCGAAGAATCGCCCAGGGCATGAGTGAGCTCCGTGGCCAAATGGCAGGTTGTCCGGCCCAGTAGTTGCAGCAAGATATTTGTTCGGAAGACCCTGCTCTTCCCGCCGCTGACTAAATCTAAAGGCGTCAAAGGTTGAGATGCCTGCGTCGTTTTGGACATCGCATGATCTATGAGCGTGATACATGTCAAAGTAAACGGTCGTATCTTTCGGAACTACACTTCCATCACCTAGCTCCAACGACGATGTGGTGATGCGACCCATTGCGACTAGATGATCCGTTCGTCAGCTTTTGCGGTGGAAATGCGTAATCAAGACACACCTAGAAATGGGGCATAGACTCTGGCCGACTCTCGAAGTAGACTGTCCAATTTCGACATGCTTCTCAGCACTCCCATATCCCAAGTACCTCCAGGCGCGTCAGAGACCAATGAAGACACCTCGTTTCTCAAAGTCTCAGAGTAACTTGGCTCCGATGCAACGTCAAATATCGCATTTGTGAGCGCCTGTGCGACAGTGTCTGCGCCTGCCAAAGCAGCTCGAAGCTGCATCCTGGCGAGCAGTTTCGTATCATTTCGACGTCTATCGTCAAGCCGCTTTCGAATAAAATTTGTCAAGGCGTGAGTCCCGGTTCCTTTGGTATCAGACTCGTGAATAGTAGCTCGCAACAACTCAGCAACCCGACTTCGTCTTGTTGAAAATCCAATATGATAGAAGATTAATGGATGGACGAACGGTCGAAGCCACGGATGCCACCTGTTGAGAGCATCAAACGCTTTTCGAAGGTCTGCCGAATAGTTGAAAGCGATATCTTGCCACTCCGGGTTCCTCGCTAGGTCGCAGCCCACAAAAGCAACGGCGTTCAATATGGTCACAATTCTCTTAACGAAGCTGAAAGCTGTCACTTCGGTCCACTGCCCATCTTCTTGGAGCTCAAGATGTTGTTCGAAAGCGGTCTCGACTTCTCTTTGAAGGATAGGAACTAGATCTCGCACATGACGTGTGAGGTCGACTTTGATGGCATGGAACATTTCCGGCATGGGAGTTCCCAAGTCGGTATATTGCCCAAGACCACGACGACATACTTCTTTGTCCGCCGACAGCTGCGATTCTGGGGCTGACTTAAGCGCATTGATGAGTTTGTGGGGGAGTACAACAATTGGTGGCTCTGATGGGAGCACGAACGCCTTATCAGGGTACTGCGAATCGTGTCAATACTCGTTCTTTACCGTATCTGTATCCGTGAAATGGAGACTTACCAAGTTTCGGCCCTCAGCGAGTGCTTCCCTGAAGTCTTTGTCGGTATTTCTTCCTGCCACAGGCAAGGACAGCCTCTTCCTCGGCCTCGTTTCCCAACCAGCCAGAAGGCTTGCTAGCAGAGCGGCCGCCAAGACTAGTCCACTCAGCGCAAATGCTTCCCTGCGCAGCGAAACGCTGAAAATCAAGAAAGAAGTAGCGTCTATCATTTTGAATTGCAATGAAATCCTGATAGCAACACTTCAAAGATGAGAGAAGGGGGTAGGAGCAAGCGGCTCCGACTATCACACGGTAAAAGTGGTAGACTCTGCAGAATTGAACTTGGCTCAATTCTCCCCTATCTTGATGCACGCATTCGCACTCTCAAACCAGCAACATAACCATCGAAATGGATAGTCAGCCTCCGTGTTCAAAACCAATGTCAGAAATTAGGGGAATCGAGCTGACGAGAGGGGAGAGGGGTGGACAACATCCAATCGGTTCAACTGCCGCGGTTGCGCGCAGCCTGGGCCATTGGCTCATGTACCACGCCTAGGCTTTCGGTGATTTTTAAACCTAATACGAGCAAGCAAATTGCCGTTACGACTGCCTTTGCTCATCTCAGGTCATCTCTGCCTGTCGCACCATTGCAACCTGCGGTAATGGCCAAAGCCGCATCCTGCATTACGTCCGATTGGCCCCTTAATCATGCAAGTTGGTCCTGTTACTTCTACACTTCCTTGTTCCCATGTGCTCCGCGTGATCAGATGATAAGCGTTCCTCGGAGCAACCTCCTTTCACACCAACGTTTGCTACGGTTTATAGAGATGCGGTTGATATATTGAATAGTGATATGCACGTTCTTACGAAAGCAATATTCCGCTGTGAATTGGGGCTACGTTGTCGGACTCGGTTTCGCAAACCTTGCCGTCAATTTTAGCTTCCGCTCCCTTATGCTTTGGAGAGATAGTATTCTCCAGCAAGGCTTTCCAGCTGCGAACATCACCGTGCCTGTCCGATCAGTAACTACCCTCCAACTCCAGTCTTTCCTTTTACCTCGACGTGAAAGCTCTTCTTCTGTTGCGTTCATAGAATGATAGTAATATGAAAAAGGGTTATCGAGTCGTTGTCAACTTCTCTGTAAGACTCGGCGGCTATTGCGACAAAAGGTGAATGTCGGAATAAATGAGATCTAGCCTGCGAATACAAGCTTGGAATTCTTAGTTTGTATTCTTTTCTATGTGTAAAAAGGTCTTCAATTGGTATCAAAAATCTTTGTGATCTCTTCCACAGTGTAACCTTTTGTTTCCGGAAATGAAATCCACGCAACCACAAACCCTACTAGAAGGATCGAAACATACACCAAATAGTACTTCCATCCCAAATCTGCCATTGCCACAGGATTGGCGTATTGCCCAGCAGCGGCGCTGGCCATAGTTATAAAGTAGTGGAGAGCAACTGCTTTGGCTCTCAGGTAGAAAGGACATATCTCCGCAAGATAGGTTGTTCCTAACGGCGCATATCCGCTGTCGAATCCCAATTGAAAGACGAAAAACATCACAACTACCGCAGAACCAGCTTCGCTTCTTGCAGTGACTGAAAATTGCTGCGTCGCAACTGTGAGGCCGACCATAGCCAGGAGCATGGTTGCTGTGGAAAAAAGGAACAAAACTCGCCGCCCTACCTTGTCGACGATGATTGCGCTGAAGAGAGCGATCACAAAGTTGAAAGTTTGAAGCCCACCGTTAATGCCAGCTTGCTGCAAGGGCTGCCTGATGCCAACAGACTTGAGTGCGGCGGCAAAATAGTAAGTTATGATCCCTCCCCCGCTCCATTGAGACATCAGCGAGGTAACGACCACGATGAAAAGACGTTTTCGATTTCCAGCGGTTTGGAAAAACGCCATCCATGAAGCTTTCTGTTGATGTTTCTCATTCTCGAGGCTGCAGCAGATCTGGTCATATTCGGCTTGCACCAGCTGATCCGACTCGAAACCATTGGCATGGTATGTTGCCAGAATCCTGCGGGCCTTTGTCACGTCTCCTTTAGCTACAAGCCACCGCGGAGACTCAGGTACGAGCATCATCAACGGCAGTTGCAGCAGAGGAGGTATAATCTGGACGACAACTGGCAGACGCCAACTCCACTCACTCCTGAGATGAAGGCTGCCGTACGTGAACCATGCCGATGCTAATGTACTCTTAGTCCTTGAAGCCTTTTCAGGATACATATTTCAAGTTACCTGTTGCGCCTACATAAAAGAATGAGGAGTAAGTTGCAACCAGAGAGCCTCTCTGTCGTGGGTGGGCAAGTTCTGTCAACAGGACAGGGCCTAAGCAGACTATAATGATGCCGCCAACTCCCATCTTTCCTGCGTTAGCATTCTTTTTTGAAATTTGGTGAGGTAGTTACTCGCCAGAAATCGCGTCATAACGTAAAGACGCGCATTATAGCACAACGTCTGCCCAACAGCTACCTGGTTGTTAATTCACGTTGGCCAGTCGTGATACGGGTCCCGGAACATACCTGTTGCAATCATTACCACATCTCCTATCATAATGACCTTCCGTCGCCCAATAACGTCCCCCAGCAAGCTTACTATCCAAAACATCAAAGCGCCGCCGATGGAGTAACCGGCCACCATGATTCCGGTGAGACTTGTGTCCTTTGATGAAAACCCAAGATCTAGCATTCTCTTAGAAACATTTAACGGACATGGTTGAGATGGCGCCTTACCTTTGTACCCTGTCTCACGTCAGCTTTCTCCTCGACTGAAATTGGTAGCATTGATAATGTGCACCTACATTGGGGTATTGTCAATAACCCGCCGATGAGTGCACCATCATAACCTATCATCACTGGGGAAAGAAAGATAGGCAAAAGCCTTACGTTCAGCTCCCTCAATCCGCTGTCTTTCCACCATTGTCTGTTGCAGTTATTCTCTTGTTCGCCTGCCACAGCTGTTATGGCGATGTTGTCTTCTGTCAATCGAGTCTTCGTTGTCTTCATGGTTACGGTGCACCGGACGTCTATACGATGGGCAAAAGGTGATGGCGTTACGAGATCGTAGAAACGGTGAAGTTATTGAGAGGGGAACTGGAAGAACCACACCAGGAAACTTCCGCATCGGATGACAGGAAGGCGTGGGTCGAGCTACTCCATAGGCATTTTTCCGAGGCAATTCTCTTTGAGACGAAGCCTCCAATCACGCGCATTTCAGCGGCAATCGCAACAAACTCAATCAAAGTTGGGCGTTGCTTGAAACTCTAATAGACTTGAATCCATCAGCACTGTGATGATATTTCGGAGTCAACCTGCCCGGTTATACGAGGCAAAGCTAGAAAGCCCTTTATCGTCAGGTCAAGAATCATCTATAAAGATTGACTGTTTTGCCGGGGTCGGCAGCTTGTTTACCCAATTATCCACCCCTACACTCTATCCTTCTGGGCTGAAACGCGACACTTCGCAACCTATCATGGCCGATAAATGCGTTGCCTCAGACCACCATCCTTGTGGGTGGAGGCTCGACGCACCCGGACGGTATTCCCGAGAGCAAGATACCAGAGAAAAGCTCGTTCTGCGTCAGGTCTATGGCATCCCGGGCAAAATCAATTACTACATGATATTTGCTATCCAGCTTCGGTACTCTTTGTCAGATGCCGACGCCGAGTCTAGAGCTCGGCAAGCTTGGATCGCCTTACGCTGTGCGCAGCCCTCCATAGCCGCCACTGCCATAGGCAGTCGCATGGAATACTCCATTATTCAGCCAGAAAGTTCGGATGTTTGGGTATCAAACACATTCTCCGTTCACCACACAGAAGATTCAGCTATATCCTTATCACGGAAAATACAACCTAACTCCGACGTCCGTCTACACTTCCTACCTGGCACCAAGGAACTACTCCTCTGTGCATCGCACGAGCACGCCGATGCTCACGGGATGTTGATGTTATTGGATGCACTTTGCGAGTACATGGCATTCCCATCCGCACCAAAGTTCGACACGCAATCAGACCGGCTGTCACCCCCACTGGAAGTTGCAGCGGATATTGGAAAGGCATCACCTCGGATAAAACAATGGACTGCGCAGATTCTGCGTGAATGGAAGGCTAGATCTGCTCATCCGTTGTGCATATCCGCAGACCGTTCTGGACCTGGGGTCGGCGAGGTTGGCACTATCCGACTTACACTGACAAGCAAGGAGTCTTTGGCTGTGTTCACATCCGCCAAGACCAGCAATGTTTCCGTCAATGACCTGATGACAGGGGCCACCGTCATGACTGCAAAGATGCTCGCTGGCAACGTTCACGGCAATTGGCTAGGAGGTGTTACTTTTGATGCCAGGAGCAACTGCATGACCGACTCCGGTTCTCAACAACACGCAGCCACAATCTACTTCGTCGCGTGCCCGGCATATGTCCGCAATCCATCGTCACTTCTGGATGCAGCGAGGCAGATTCAGGAACAACGTCAACACTTCCAGAGTGACCCCGAAGCTCTGCATATTTCACAGCCAATGCTTGATCTTGTAAATGCAAGTGGAGCTAAAGTCCAACAGCAACAGTCTCAACAACTTGCTAGCTCTCAAGTAGAATACAGCGGTCTTGGGAAATTAGACGCGTGGCTGCGGCCATGTCATGGAGCCATCGAGATTGTGGACTTCTGGCTCAGTCTCGGTCACCTCACAACGGCGATTGGCGTATATTGTTATACCTACTGCGGCCGTTTGTGTTTCACGCTAAGCTACAACCCTGGTTTTCACAGCGAAGAAAGTATGAATCGATTCATAGAAGTGTTAAGAGTTACAATAGCTAATCACATTGCCGACGGATTTTGAATCATCGGCAAAGCCGGGCTCAGTCTTAGTCGGAATTCATGAGATACTCTACTCTTTAGCTTTTAGTTCCAAAAGAAACCAACCAATGTTTCATAGCCTCGTAAATACCCACGTTTTTGCCCCTCCCATATGGCTCAGAGCCATGGCCCCGATTTGCACCGTGATCATGTCAGCGAAAACTCAATTTCATCGGTAGCTGATCCAGGTGAACTACGGGCACGAGTAGAATGACTCATTGTTTACCATGTGGAGAAATGTCCGAAGTATTTGCCCCGTTGTTTCAACCAGTTTCCATGGGATTGTGATGTCGCCATCCTAGTCCCTTCTCGGACCGGGCTCATAGGCGGCTGTCCTGGGTGTGTTGTCAAATCAAGCTGCTCATAGTTGTATACCCGCTCTTTCGCGGCATGTAGATGTAAGATAAGTGATTTCATTTGTCTCGTTTGAAATGAGAATGCGAGAAGAGATCACTCTGCGTTATCCTCAGCTTACATAATGAATTCACCAGTTGCCAGATACACTTCTATCGAAGTTCGTTATGTCCCCAATAGCAGTAGTCTCATTTTGAGTCCCATATCTGAACAATATGTCGACCATCATGTAACTGTGAAATGGCTTTACGCATTGGTAAGTCGTACTTGAATGTTGATTAACCCGAGAACTCATCAGAGAAACAGATTCTTTTCAGTCTGGTATACTCAGTGCTTTACAATCTCTATCTCAGCCCCATTGCTAAGGTCCCGGGGCCATTCCTTGCCAAGATATCTCCAGTAAGCCATTTTATGAATTCGTCCTCGAATCTTAGACGAGGGTTTTTCCTGATTACCAAACAGCTATGGCTTATGAGCGCTGTGTACCGGAGACGCCTCAATCATGATATCAAGGCGCTGCATGAGAAATATGGTATGCTCCTTATCGTCTTTTTCCAATAGAATTCGCTAACCTTGTAGGCCCTGTCGTTCGTCTTTCCCCTACTGAGCTTTCTTTCGCAACCATAGCGGCCCAAAATGCAATTCATAGACCTGGAGGCTCAGCGAAAGAGCATGCATTTTTCACCAAAGAAGGAACACTGGAAGCAATGATGGGTGATATCATCTGGCCAGCAACGAATCTTCTTACAGTCACAGATCCCCAAGAGCACCAACGCTTGAAAAAAGCCCTGCAGCCAGCGTTCACAAGCAGTGCGTTACGTTCTCAAGAAAGCATACAGAAAGCCCATGCGTATGTCATGATTTCAAACATCAAGAAATCTGCCGCGAAAAGAAGCTGCATAGATTTGACTCCGTTGATGTCACAAGCCATCTGGGATATTATCAGTGATCTATCATTTGGCGAGCCGTTGCTCAAGGATCAGCTTGGTAAGGCCATCCATTCCCTATTCCCTGAGATAATAACACCAACTAACGGCAATAAAGTGAAATTCGAGACACTCAAAACAACATTCTGCGCAGTCAGTCCATTGCTTGAAGCCTTGCAGGTCTTACTAGCTGTACCAGGAGCACAGACTTTTGCGAAAGCCTGTGTGAGTTTGGTGCCTCTACTTTTCTGGCTTCCGACGAGGGTTTTGCCTTCTGCACAACTCCGAAAGTAAGTGAACTTTCATTTTGTTCACTTATTGATTTTCTCTAACGCAATTGACTGGTAGACGCCTCGACCGTCAAGATCAAAACGAGGACTTTTTGACCGCGATCATGAGATGCAGAGAACTAGGCATAAGCATGACAGATAAAGAGCTCCAGAGTAACGCCTCACTTCTCGTGTAAGATTGTAAGACTCCATGCATTATTCATGCTAATAATAATCTCGCAGTATGGTGGGATATGACACAACCGCTACGTCTTTATCTGCTACTTTGAACTTGTTGCTACGCAATCCCCACTATCTGGAGGCGCTCAAAAAGGAACTTCAAAGTCACTTCAATTCATTCGATGATATGACCGCAGCATCCTTGTCTCAGCTTCCCCTGCTCAATGGTTGTATACAGGAGGGTCTCAGGCTCTTTCCTCCGGCAAATGGCAAAGGCACTAACAGGACATCGCCTGGCGCTTTCATCGATGGCACTTATGTCCCTAAAGGCGTGAATGTTTCTGCCGACATGTACACCATCCAAAGATCCCCTCATTACTGGTCCAGGCCTGATTCCTTTTGTCCTGAAAGGTGGTTTGACAATGGGCCGGGCACAGAGTTTGCCAACGACATCCGGTCCTCTCATTGCCCATTTCTACTTGGTCCGAGAATGTGCATTGGTCGGGCCGTCGCTCTACAGTCCATGCGATTCATAATTGCAGGCATGGTTTGCGACCTAGAGCTAGAGGCTGTGGGACAATATGATTGGGATAATGACGTATCTAACTCGTATCTTTGGACAGACTACAGATGTTTCGCTGAGGTCAGATAACTTCTTGTATAGCTTGCAGATGATCTATCAGATAGATTCCTACAATTAAAAGTGAGAAGGTTCAACCTTACGCTGCGCTACTCGGGTACATGTTGAAGCATAATATATGGAACAGTTTGTGTCCGGAAGATTGCGATTTGCGTTGGGCAGTCAGAGATTGTGAGGTTCAAACAATCAATTGCATCGCTCGCTATGGATAAACATAACCACGACCCTCCATTGATGAGGAGTTATGGGGTACCTTAGTATATGAAGTGGTCATTGTATTTTATGCCAAGGGAGTAAGAATGCATCGTGAAAAGAGGTCAGTTTTGGACTTGTCTAGGAGCCAAAGCTTATTTCATGATCTATTGTCCGGGGTTATAATCAGGGTGAGTCTTCTGGTAGTTGCGAATAATTTTCATCACGCCTTCCGGAGCCGGTACCGTCTTTACTCCCTTTGGCTTCCTCACATCAGTCTCCATCATATCCTTAACGGCAAGTTCATTGTGCTCTTGGAGCACACTCTCGAAGTCCCAACACTTCCGCCAAATATTGGTATCTGCAATCGGGCGGTTGAACTCTTCCATCCAACGGAACAAGTAAACACCAGGATCCTGCGAAGCAGTCAGTCAGATTGTGTGAGTCAATTAATTGGGGGTTGGTGGAGCGAACATTGTGGCAAGTCAGGTGCTCAAACAGAATCATGATGCAATGAGCAGTGTGGTAGGCGTGAAACGGATTGTCGTCGGTACCATTCGGGTAGTAATGGTCATAATAAACAGCCTTTTGAATGTTAGCATTTTCTTGACTTTGGGGCACACAAAAGAATGAACCTTTCTAATATAATCAAGGCAATGTATGTTGTGATACATCGCCGACTTCGCCATGTACGTTGTCTCGCCATCGACGTGGTACTTTTCGGGCATCGGCACAACGACAGAGGGGTCTTTCCGCATAGCAATGATATCTGCCTCCTTGACTGGGAACAGATATTCTGCTGTCACGCGTTCCCATGCCTTGTCAACTTCTTCGCTAGGTTCTGCGCGCCAGATCTCCGGGCCGCCCATCCCGTACTGTGCGTAGCTTTTACGCAAGACCAAGGGAATTTCGATTTTGTCCAGCACCGGGGCTGCTTCAATCAGACTCTGCACCTACAAAACTGATGATGTACTCACAATGCATCGAGATATCTTTCAGTCTCGCGTTGAAGCGGTGAGAGTGCTGCCAAGCAAGAAACAGACTGCTGACGCCAATTTGAAAAAGCAAGAAGCTGGTCATGAACATCGGGCTCTTCATAGCCTCTTTGAATGTCGTGAAAGCTCGTTGAACTCGAGATATCTTCTTAGCCCCAATCAACTCTCTTTCCATCAACGCGACGTCGGACTCTTCGCTAGATCGGCTTCCATGCTGGTCCTTTTCTGAGTCTGCCGTAGGCAGCGCCTCGTAGTCCTTGGAGCGAATATTGAACTTGCTAAATTGAGGCATCTTGCGGAGCAGGCGTTTTTGCAAATCTTGGGGGTTCAGTATGCCTGTGGTACTTAATTGTAGGCTGGTAGCTAGTTCTTTTTGGAGGTTGACTAAAGAAATTGCTCGAGGGCTTTCATGAATTGTAGGGCTTTGAAGGAGTATCTTCGCATGCCGTCTTTCTAATTTCCTGAAGGACCCAAACTTTTAGGTTTGGATCGCTATTTCCTGGCATCCGATAAGCCTCTTCATTTATTCTGCGGACTTTACAGTGCTTTCCCCGGCGAAGGTTTCGATATGCATACATCGCGAGTTTCACCTGGCTATTCTCAATGTCCACGGAAATGAACTACTCGGGTAATTGCAAAATTTGGAATCCGTTAGTATCATCCGAAGGTCAGGTTTGCCGCTGTACCGAGCACGCGGTTTGTTAAGGTACGCTGCATGAAAGCTGTCACTAACCACGCGTCCGAATAACTCGGCACAGCTTGCCACAAGGACTACCTTGCAATTTTCGGTTTTTGTTTTCCGTGCTTTTGTGGTTTCCCGTGCTTGGGCCAACCTCGGAATGAAGTGCCACATTGGGAATGCTCCTTAGAATATACATCGCAATTCAGCTGATCTCCTTTTCACGAGGCAAAGACAAGGTGTACTAGTATTGTCAAAAACCTCCGAATAACAGCTCATTCTATAACTCACCCCCAAACTCAACCGTTCACATAATCTGCTAAGCTTTGTCCAGTACCGTATCCGTGAGATATGCTTAAGTTTCACGAATTCTTTGGAGATCTGTAGCCTCGTCGGCTTCTCAATCGCCAAGATTGTGTGATAACATGAACTTTTAGGTCGGCTCCACATCCTGAATAACTGGATGAAATTGTTCACATGTGACGCCATTTATCCGTGTCTTTCGGACCGTATAGTCGTATTCTTGTGCAACTTCCTACTTCCTTACTCTGACAATCTGACCATCACTCTTGGCTCGTGTAATCCAAAATTGCTTCTCACAGCGCAACCCCTGCAGTCTTTGTGAGACAAGATGCTTACGATAGGAGCTCTCCTCGTTATCCAGGCGGCAGTTCTGCCTCTTGTCCTGGCATGTCACATCTTGCACCTCATCAGCTTTGTCTGAGTATTCTCATGGACCAACACTAACTGAGACAGGTTGCTACTTACTTGCTTGCATCAACCATTTACAATCTTTACCTTCACCCACTCTCTAGGTTTCCCGGTCAGTAAAGTGATGGTGAATCATCACTACACTACATCACTGACATCACTGAAGGCCCTTATTCAGGCCGTGCTCAGGACTTATGGATTTCGCGCCAATGGTAAGATCGAGCTTTTGAGTACATCTCAATCTCATCGCTTACATCTTTCAGGATATCGGGTAACTGGCCTTGGGAAGTAGAGGCCTTACACGCTAAATACGGCGACATCGTCCGCATTGGTCCAAACGAATTATCGTGCGCGCATCCGCAATCGATCAAAGACATTTATGGGCAGTCAAACATCAACCACCCTCAGTTCTTTAGGAAGTTCACAACTTTCTATAAGCAAACTGACGTCGGCGGGTCCATCGGCACCGAAGTTGACCCGCATCTACACCAAACCATCCGGAAACGTTTGGCGCCCGGCTTCAGTGCGAGCGCTCTAAGAAAGCAAAGCGATATCATCATACGACATATCGATTCTCTACTCGACCAAGTCTCGAAGCACGGGGCCAGCCCAGAAGGCATGAACATGAGCCAATGGTTCATGTGGCTTGCATTCGACGTGATTGTTGACCTCTCCTTTGGAGAGGAGCTTGGGACAGTTGAATTAGGTGAGCTTTTGTAAGCTGAAAGTATCGGAACCTAAAAGCTAATAAATTCATGAACCACAGGCCAGGGCAATGATTGGATCAACATGTTGGCCAACAGCGGTTTCCAAATAGCCTTGGGCTACGTAGTTCGTCGTCGATGGAAAGCATTGCAAGATTTCGTACGATCCTGTCTTGTAAACGAGAAGAGCAAAGCGATGCGAACTAAGTATATCGCCAATGCCCGAGAAAAAGCTAGTCGTCGGCTTCAAAGGGGAGCAGATGTAGAACGTTTTGATTTCTTCAGCCACTTGTTACGCGACAAAGCTCCTGAAGCAAACATCGACTTCTTCGCGTCTCAAGGCACAACGCTGGTTGCTGCTGGTACCGAGACCACGTCAACCTTCATGTCTGCGCTCACCTACTATCTGCTTCAAAATCCGCGAGCCTTGCATCGACTTCAAGACGAGCTTCGACATACCTTTCGACAGCACACGGAGATCGACGGTGAATCAACGAAATCATTGACGTATCTAAACGCAGTTATTGAGGAGGGCATGCGTGTATTTGCTCCTGCTCCATTTGGTCTGCCCAGAGTCAGTCCAGGTGCCGAGGTGACAGGAGAATGGATACCAAAAGGGGTGAGTCTATCTGCCTGTTTATTACCATCGGTAATAGCCTTACTGACAAGCCGGGTTTAGACTGTTATTTCCACCGCAGCACATGTAACCTCTCGCGACGAGAGATGGTTTTATAAAGCCAAGGAATTCCATCCAGAGAGATGGCTGTCTCACGGGCACCCATACTATGAGCCCATCTTCTCCAATGACCGGAAAGAGGCTTCCAAGCCCTTTTCTATTGGCTCACGATCCTGCATTGGCATTCACTTGTCATATATGGAGATTCGAATTTGTGTCGCTAAATTGGCTTGGAGCTTTGATTGGAAACAAGTGAGCGAACATGAGGATTTTGTCCGGGATGCGCGTTTGTTAGGACTTTGGAAGGCCGCGCCATTCCATGTGCGCTACCTCCCGTTCAAGGGGCTTGAGGTTTGAAACGTGTAGAATCATGAATCATATACTCAATTGACGTCATTCTCTATATCTTTTAAGTATGCTCATTGTCCATTAGTCGTGACTAGAGTTGCAACAAACCCATGGGTACCCGCATGGGTAGTACCCAAAACTACTCATGGGTAATCCACGATTCCACGGGTACTCATACTACCCAAACTTGTCACAAAAATACGAAAGAAAACAGTTTTCCTTCTATTTTCAAACACAATGATCAACCATACTCAGAAGGCTTCACTTGGTCATCATGAACTTCAAACTTTCAACTCGACGTTAGCCATTTTAAGTACTTTTCCTCTGCGACAATTGTCAGATTTTGGTTTCTACCTATGAATAGCAAAAGACTCAGTTTCAGTCTCGTGAAAAACACTACATTCAGTCTTCAAGCAACGATATCCCTCACACTCAGTCTACCAAGAAGAATTCGCATCACGGGGTTGCTATCACCCAATGCTTTTTCGACCTCGCCAATTGTTTGCTCAACTGCCGTCTCAAGATTCTTCAACCTCTTCAGCGTCAGATCCATAGCATTAGAGCTCTTCAAAAGCCTAATGATGTACCTCTTAGTCTCATGAGGCAACCTCGGAGGTTCTGCAGAGTTGTTACGAGACGTGTTCGCGGCTTGCTGTCTAAAGATGCCCATGATGTGATCCTGATGCTCGGGGTTCTGTCGCAGGGCCAAAATCAGCGGATAAGACATTTTGCCCTCATCAAGATCTTCGCAGAAGCCTTTCTGATCGGAATACTCGCTGGAGTGCAAATTCATGTAGTCATCCCTGATCTGGAAGAATCGTCCAAAGAGATGGCACATCTTGACTAATAATTGGGCTGTGTCACTGGAGGTGACAATGGAGCTTTCTTGAAGCATTAGTCGAGTCAGAAGACTGAACATCGCGCCTGTCTTTGAGTCGATCATTTCGAAGTATTCTTGCTCTGTGGGGATTTGAAGGTGAAACTTCCAATAGAGATCCCAGCTCTGCCCAATGAAGAGATGCTCAAGCTGAGTCAGAGTGTTTCCTGACACTCAGGATTATTGAGCGTTCGGGTAAGCTGGACAGCCTGAACAAACATGAAATTTGCCGTGTTGATTGACTGCGCTTGTCCGAATATCATGTGTGTTGCTGGTAGACCGCGGCGGAGAGGGGAATTGTCCTCTATGTCATCTAGGATGAGCGAGGAATTGTGCAATAGGTCGATAATCTTCTTGATAGTCACAAGCGCCTCGTCATCCACTAGCAACCACTGGTCGAGCGCCTCAACCATCAGTGAACGTAAGCCTTTAGATGGCATAGAGCGTATGTACTGGCATGGAGCCATCAAAGCTCGGTTGCTTAGCGATGGCGAAGTCTTGTTCTCCTCCGCTGTGAGTGCAAGAGGCTCGGAAAGCGCTAGATCCGTCGTCGGATATGAGTTGTGCGACGTGACACTTGAGGTATATGGTCCCGGAGAAGAAACTGAAGACTGAATAGCGACATCGCGAACTGGCGAAGATGAGAAACTCCCGTCGCTGCGCAAACTTTCATCGTCGCTCCATGCATGGTGTCGAGGGCAATTGGCGCACCAGTAGTGATTGCCGGCAACAATTGCTCCGCAAACCTCGATGTACTTCTTGAGATACAAGTCGGCATTGGGATTCTCCCCGAGAAACTCGGTCTTAAGTCGCGCAAAAGTCTGTTCGTAGTCTATGATTTTCTGACGAACGGTCTCTTTGGCCTGCTCCATGGACAGACCCTGAGTTCTCATGAACAGGTGGACGGCATTGACAATTCTAGGATCGTTCGTCTGCTGAGCCTGGCGCCACTCGCGGTCCCAACTCCAGTAGTCGTTTGTCAACACAAGTGCGGATTCAGCCGCTTGGAAAATTGGACGAACAGCAGTTTTCTGCTGCTCGGATATGTCGACTGCCATCCCAAACTCTACCATACTCCAGAATGCCCTATTGAATATTAGCTTTTTCATCATGCCTACGCTGATGCTTAAACTCACTCCATGCCTCCATTCAGGTTTCTGAAGATCAGGTACTCTTCAAGGCTATTAATTTCATTCACGTCACTCCTCTCCATCACATCCAGCCATTTAGATCGGTATGTGTTGATCATGCGCAAGGCTCGATGTCTATCAATCTCCATTGCCTCGAGAAGACACTTTGATATGTAACGCTTCATTTTCATGGAGCGATCAGCAGCTTTGGAACTGTTCCGATTGTCCACTGCGCTTATTTCCATGGCCTGACTAAGGCTCTTATGCTCTTTGAGAGCTTCCTCATAAGGAAGCTCGTCGCACAAATCTGCGAATGACTGATCAGAATTGGCAATGCAGACACTTTGAGTAGCCACACAAACTAACCGTCGTGGATGTTTCCCATGTTAGCCAAATATGTGATGACTCCCAAACGCTCAGGGAGAGACTCCGGGAAGATGAAAGCCCCCCAATTTCCAACGGGACTCCACGATGAGCCAGATTTGTGCTCCCAACCGTCACCAATATAGGCACCCCAATCCAGAATTGACTGTTTGGTGGCGTCATCTGCAAGATCATTTCTATGATGAATGCGGATTGGTAGTGTCGTGAAACAGCCAGTGGACGCTGCCACCTCAGCGTCGATATCGACAGAATATTCCCAAATAGCATCCATGATGCGATAGTTGATTGCCTTGTTGACGTAATGATCCTCCAATGATTTGAGAATGGTGTGATTATGATTTCTCAGCGCTACCAGAAGCTTTTGTTTGCTTTTCCCTCAGAAATGATCTTAGTGACTGGGAAAGCGTCCTAGGAGTTGGGCTTGGCTACGAGCCACTACACCCACGCGGCACGTCGTATAAATCTATGGGAAGCCATTTCCAATGCGCATACAGTAAGGTTCTCGTAGCCTTCCCCGGAGTTGGCCAACTAGGACCCTCCGTAGGCGTTCGGTAAGCTTTCCCGTTCTTCTGGAACAACGATATCATCCCTGATTGTCTAATAGTGCGTGCCTGGACCATGCAGAGTACAGCAGAGCTGATGTTTTGGGGCGTGCTTGCTTTGGCCATGCATTAGCCATGTGTTTGGACTACTTTGATACATGGTGCTCGGCTCATGTGTTTTTACTGGAAGATAGTTCGAAATGGTCAAAATCCAAAAGTTCGGGCTTTTTTCTTCGGAATAGGTTCGGCACAGAGTCGAAGCAGAAGCATACGATCCCCTCGCGTTGGCCCCACTCTCACCCGCGCAACTTTGTTCTATGCAACAAAGCGATGCATCGTGGAATTACAGTTTTCCTTGAAACGAAAATTCTTTCTCCGCGGAACCTGTCCGTGGCCGATAAGAAAAAGCTCAAGAGATGGGGTTGCCATCTGATATTCGTCAAATATGTATTTACCTCGAACTTTGTTGAAGATCCGAAAGTCACACGGACATACGATGGACTGAATCAAGTTCAACGCTGCCATGACTTCTTGTTCGGTGTCCGGATATTGAATGGATTGACCGAGTACGATATGGGAAAGGTCGAGTTCGTCCTAGTCAAGCAGGCGGTCGCGAGAGAGGAACTATGTTCGACGGTGCGCGCTATCTCATTATCCATTCGCCGAGGAGCAAAAGAATGTAGCAGTTAGCTTTCTTCGTTCTGTCACTGGAGGTGTTATGACAATTTCCAGAGCTATTTGACTCTGTTTTCAGAGATCACGTCGTTACACGCCCCCCACGCGACATACCATACCAAGACATCAATCAATCTATGACACAAACCTGAGCAGATTGAACATTTGGTCCTCGCCACAGCATCATGAGCGCATCACAGAGGCCACTTCCTATCAGTTTAAAAAGCTCACTGAGTTCAACGAAGTGCGAATATCGACAGTTGGGCAGATCGGGTTTGCGCGTTTCTGTTCCTATCCTTGGGTGCGCTGGCTTTGGAGATCCTACAGGCATTCGACCATGGGTTCTGGGTGAAGAAGAAGCAATATCTCTTCTCAAAGCCGCATATGACCGCGGCATCAACACCTGGGACACGGCAAATATCTATTCGAATGGATTGTCAGAAACCTTCATCGGAAAGGCTATCAAGAAGCATGCTATTCCGAGAGAGAAACTTGTTCTTCTTACGAAGTGTTTCTGGGCTGTTGGTGAAGACCAATCTGTTCAGCACGCCATGATGCCCGTGGAGAAGTCGAAAGACTATCAGAACATGTTCGGACTTTCGAGAGCGGCCATCTTCAACGCCGTCGACGCGTCGCTACGCAGGCTGGATACAGCTTACATCGATGTCCTGCAAGTCCATCGTTTTGATCCGGACGTGCCAATTGAAGAGACGATGAAGGCCTTGGACGATCTCGTGCGGATAGGCAAAGTGCGCTACATAGGTGCTAGTAGTATGTGGGCATGCCAGTTTGCTCGAATGCAAGTAAGTTGTCATGGTTTCCTGGGGTGTACCTACGAGCAAAACTGACGTAGCGCTACCCAAGCATGTTGCAGACCTCCATGGCTGGACAAAATTCATTAGCATGCAGAATTGCTACAACCTGGTCTACAGAGAGGAAGAAAGGGAAATGATCCGGTACTGTAACGATACGGGAATCGGGCTCATCCCGTGGTCTCCTCTTTGCAAAGGCTGCCTCACTCGTCTTCCCTCTACCGCAGATCGTTCGATGAGTAAGAGAGAGGAGTTTGAGAGCAAGTTCGGCCTTGCTCTTGGTCGCGTTGAGCCTGACACCAGCATTATATCTCGGGTTGCAGAGGTCGCAGAAGGTAAGAAATGGCCCATGAGCCACGTTGCGCTTGCATGGATCAACAAAAGAGTATGCAGTCCCATTGTAGGCTTTACAACTGTCGAAAAGATGGACGATACACTTGAAGCGTCAGGCAAGATACTTGATGAAGGCGACGAGGAATACCTAGAGGCATTGTATAAGCCGAAAGTCGTCTATGGCCATAGCTAAAACCTCTATCCACTGACGAGCCGGGCATTTTCAAATTTGTTGGATAGAGAATCTGAGCCGAATCTTCATTTGGCAGTATGAATCTTATGTGAGATGGAGCTTACGAAGGGAGCCAAAGTCTCTAGACTGCTAACTCACTTCGAATGAGGAAGATGACAATCATTGATACATGGTGAAAGCTCGTAGTTGAGAAGTGTGACAGACTGGTGGAAAACAAGAAAGAGGTCAAACGGATATGAACATCAGTCACTGCATTGAGTGGAAAATCTCGTGACGCATCTGGACAAGAACTTCTCAAAACTTCGAGATTATGTTCAAGACACCGTTTGCCCGGACTGGCCGTGCGCGCAATTAGAGCGCGAACACTGTACACTCCCAAGCAAAGAGCAAAAGTCAGGCGCCCGAGTCCCCCTGAATAAAAATATTAGTAAGGCTCGCCTGTATTGCACGCACTGTGCACCCACCTCACGCATCAAACTTCACCTCAAGCGAATCTTTTTCACTCTCAGCCAGCAACACCAAATTCAATCACATTCACCGCCGAAATGGTGCGAACGCGCCCCCGCAACAAAACGCGGCGCGTAGCCGTCATAGACTACGGCTCAGACGGCGAGCCGCCCGAGGCCCACGAGGACCCCGATGACGACAATTTCGAGGCGCCCCCACCTGACCCGGAAGACGATGAAGACGACCGCATGGACCTCGACGGCGGCGGCGACGATGACTTTGAGGCAGAAGACCCGTCGTCGCTTGCAATTGACGGAGGCAACAGGGATTTCGACGACGAGGATGACGAACGCCCCGCGTACACCAGCTCAGCCGGCCTGCGCAAACGGCAGGCGGACATGGCGGCGCTGGAGAAGTACCACGCCGACGGGCGCCCGACGCGGTACTACACAGGTGCGCTGAAGCGCGGCCAAAGGAATCAGATCTTGGACTACTTCTACGGGCCCGATGAGGAGGCGATTGGGATTGCGGGGTGGTTGTTGAGTCGGTGGGCGGCGTATGGGGTCTTGCCGAGCAAGGTGCCTGGGGGCGATGCCTGTCCTGTGTCGAGTCCTTGGCTTGAGGAGGGGCATTTGGAGGAGCAGGCTGAAGTCTCGAAAGTGTGGTTTGCGAGGGTGAGCGGTGGGGAGGGAGTGACGGACGCGGAGAGGGAGATGAGTCGTGAGGAGGCTGAGGAGTGGAGGGTGAAGCCTGACGGCGTGTTGAAGATGCTTCTTGGACCATACCCGGAGCAGAAGGAGGTGCAGATTGCGCCCCATGAATGCTTGGTGCTTTCGGAATCCGGGCTGCCTATGGAAGGAGAGGAGGATGAGAAGGTTGCTGGGTGGATGTTCGATGTCGGTGGCCTTGTGATCAGTATGGACTGGGCTCTCAGAGGAGAAGGGGACTCGCAGATTCTCGCGCTCGCTGTCAGCCCGCACACTGACCAGCAGCTCGATGCCGAGGATGCTGTTGATGAGCAGAAGGGCACTATACAGCTGTGGGAGCTCCACGGTCGGACGGACAAGAACGGCATGCTATACCCGCAGAACCGCTCTGCAAAGCTGACCCGGACTGTCTGTTCGGAATGGGGAAGAGTTAAGAGAATCAAGTGGTGTCCCATCCCATTCACGGACGATGGCTCACTAGGTCTGATGGCACTACTCTGCGGTGATGGTCAAGTCCATGTCGTCTCAGTCAAAGACATCAACGATGATGAGCAAGACTCCTTCAGTAAGTCACTCTTTCCCTCGGCGGAAACATACTCTAACACCAAATAGCAAAGCTCGAACACGAGATCGTACCCCTGGGCCTCCCTTCGGAAACAAACGTCACAGTAACCTGCTTCGCCTGGGTCACCACGAACCGCATCGTAACAGGCCACTCCGACGGCTCTCTCACCCTCTGGTCCATCGCCCCGCGCGTCTGCCTCTCCCGTCACGACGTGCATTCCACCTACGTGATACACATCGACACAGCCTACCCGTCAAACCCATATCTTGTCGCCTCGACCCCGATCGCCGGCTACACCACTCTCGTCGACCTGTCCGACCCATCCTGCGAAAGGACGAGCTTCCCCTGCTTCGCTATCAGCCCGCAGCCGAACCTCCTGCAGTGGAACGATCATCTCAGAGGATTCTTTAGTACGGTGCCCTCTGCAAACCCGCTGAACGCGTCGGTCGGGTTCATCCACTCGAGATGGTACGCGGCGCAGGTGCGGAAGGTCATGGACGGGGACAGGCTGCCCACATGTCTTGCGGTGGGCCTGCATCACCCGTTCGTGCTGGTTGGATACCTTGATGGAACGGTTTGGGCCGCGAATCCCGGGAACAGGATCTTTGCTTCAAAGCATCACTTTGGGCACAAGATCAAGGTGTTGGAGCACACATACATCCCGCGCGAGAGGCTGCCACCATCGGTCCAGCAAGTGAACGGCGACGGGCAGGGATGCCGCGGCGTGTCGAGGATCTTGCAAGGCTTCCGCCCAGTTCCCAATGTCAACCCTAAGGTGGATACATGGAAGAGCAAGGTCGCAACCAACAAGAAGAAGGACAAGAAAGGCAAGGGAAAGGCCAAGGGGAAAGCTAAGGGGAAAGCCAAGGCTGGTGCAGTGGAGGAAGAAGAGGATGCGGACGTGCAGGGCGGCCAGGAGGAGGGCGATGGACACTTCGCTGATCCGACAAGGGCGGTTCTCTCGGAAGCGTTAACGAGAGTCACGACTATGGCGTGGAACCCGAACCAAGAGACCGCGTGTTGGGCTGCGATGGCTATGGCCTCAGGACTGGTGAGGGTGATGGACCTGGGCGTAGAATGCTAGACTTCAGCATAAATGATACCCTTTTATTACACAATTACTTCTATCTTCACATTTACTCTATCGGGTTTAACACTGCGACCCCATGACAGTGTGGTGGTAGTCAAACGCCTTCGCCATGCCGTACAAATGCGTCGCCGCTGCGAGGACCACGAAGAAGTGGAAGATCTGGTGCGAGCTGCCCCAGATGTCAAAGGTGCGAGGGTAACTCCGCTCAGGCCATCGGGCAGCGTACAGAAACGCGCCAAAGATGTACATTGCGCCGTGCAGGACGACCCAGCTCAGGCTCATGCGGTTTTCCATTTCCGCCCGGCCGTACACGGTCAGGCCGTGGATGACGGGCACGACGCCTGAGGTGCCGAGGGCGACGAACATGCAGGCGCGGAAGGTGCGGTACTGAGGCGTGCGGAAGTGCTCGAGCCAAGAGACCATGCCGCACCCGAGGCCTAGGAGAACAATCTGTGAGATGTGAGAAGGCGTCTACGGTGACTAATATAAGAGGATGGGTGGCTTGCCGTGCTAAGGTAGACCTTCATCAAGTTGGTGTGGCAGAAGAAGCCGTAGTACAGCGCAGGCACGTAGCTACCGACGATGAGAAAGACGATGCCGGAGTAATCCAGCTTGTTGCCCCATTTCGCGACCTCCGGCGAATGGTTGCAGAGGGCATGGTAAGTGGCGGACATGCCGAGGCAGGCCACGGCGCCGGCGAAGAAGCAGGCGAAGACGAAGAGGTCGGTGGCCGATGCGGACTCATAGCGGGGGGCGATGACGGTGTACAGGAACGTCCCGCCGAAGAGGAAGGCGACGGCGCCGAGGAGGTGGGACCAGATGTTGACGGACTCGTTGTGGAGGTAGCCCAGACTTTTGAAGGAGCCGAGGTAGGAGTTTGAATCTGGGCGGTAGCCGGAGATGATGAAGGCGTTGTCGCGGCGCCAGTGGGGAAGGTCGTCCCAGAGGATGAGGAGGGCGCGCTCGATTTGGTGTTCGAGGGCTGCGGCTTTGTGTTCTACTGTCTCGAGAAGGGAGTCATTGGTGTTGCTGCTGGTGTTGTTTGGTTTGCGGTTTTTGAGACCGGAGTCCTCGGCGGTTGCGGTCATCTTGCGCGATGATTTTGAGATTAAACAAATCTACAGTCTGGTGTACAATGAGTGTGAAGTAGTCGACATGAAAGCAGTGAGTCTATGTTGTGCAAGGTTGAAGTTCATCATGAGCTGTCGCGGATGAGTGGGCTTATACGTGGTGGTGATGTTCCCTTGCGGCGGGTCCTTAACGGGTGGGATGCGATGGAATTGTTGGGATTTCCACATGCTGAAAAAACGATGGCAACGGAGCGGCTCCGAGGCCGTTGAAAGTGCTCCGATCGGGGACTCTCAGCTGGCGCCAAGTGGAGGGGCGGACACCCGGGCAGCAGGTCACCGCCCATGGGTCGGTCCGTCGGTGAGACTGCCCACTGCGGCGGAGCAGTTCCCCTGTTTTTTCTTCTTCTTTGGCACCATCTTTGGACGCGAGAGGCGTGCAGCGCCGTGAGACACACTGAGACGGACACTGGATGGAGACGAGGGGTGCTGTGCGAAGGGTCTTGTGGGTAAAGGGATCAGCATCTGCACGCGGGACGGGAACCAACTCCAGACAACCGTCCCATGGGAAAAAAACATACGAGATTCCCTCTCCCCCAGTTCATTTGGTTTTCAAGCATGTTGTGTCAACCCAAGTCTCGCGACCGAGTCAAAACTGCCCTAGGATTCAGGTGGTGTTGGCTGTGCACTTCAAGGCATGAGAGACATGTCGGGCGTGCGCTGGCATCACCCATGCCCCACGCACCCCCGGAGCGCATCAGGCGGCTCGAGTTTATTCTCTTTGGCAGTAAACTTGCAGGAGTCCGTTAATCATTTCATTGCATGCTCGTGTAGGTATGTAAAAGAATGCGCTCCGCCTAGCCGCCTGGAAAATTGCTGCAAAATCTGCCTGTCTGGTCGGAAGCAGAACACGCTTGCTGGCTGGCTCCTCGCGATAACTCCTGTCTCGCCTTGGATGACCAGACACCGCTTATTTCTTGCCGGACTTCTTGATGCCCTGGGCACCGGTGTTCAGAGGTCCCTTGCCGCCAGCCTTGGAGGCCATGTCCTTGCGAGCCTTCTCCTCTGTACCGTCGTTAGCAGGTTGCGCGATCGAGGCGTTCCGTGGTGGAACATACCGGCGCGCTTCTTCTCGAGGAAGGCGAGATCATCCTCGTCGAGATCCTTGTTCTGCTTCTTCGCGGCCTTGAGAGGCTTGGCCTTGCCACCTGCAGAGAGTCTGTCAGCATGCGAGAGAGAGGCAACACGGAACCAGAAACAAAAGACTGACCTTCGCGGTTTGCGCCACCCATTTTGAAGAGTTGTCGTGGGTATCTGGGACGTGGGTCAACTTGGGCGTGGAGTGCTGAGGGTAGCAAGGCTGGCGTCGCAGATTTCGATGTCGAGAAAGTCTAACGGGGAGAGAAAACGAGAAAGACGCGGCGGCGCAGAAGAGGTCGAGCGTGGGGTAAAAAATGCCCCTCCTGGAGAAATCGGTCAGCGGCAAAGGGTCCACGGATAGAGCGATAGATTTCTCGATAATCTTACTTGAGGTAGTTAGGTATTCACTTATCCATTACAGGTGATCTCCCCACCTTTGCGGGTCCCCTCGGAACATTCCACGCCTGACGTCTGTTCCGTGCCACCCAGGTTTCTCCGACGGGCGTGTCTCGTCGCCTACCAAAATTCGTCTCGTCGCATTTCATCATCCCAGCGCAGTGCAGACAGCCAGCCAGCCAGCAGACCGCCGACCAGCATCTTCAGCGCAACCAGGGCCACAATACCCGTTTCGACCCTTGATCGCTGAATCCACCTCTGCTACGTCGACAAACAAAACAACACACCCCTTGCCTCTGTCGTCTCTGCGTTGCATTATACAAACAGCTCCTACTTCCCCCATCTTTTCTTCCATCCTGCTCTGCTCCGGCTCTACTGCGTGTCGTCTGGCTTCTCCCAAACCATCCCCCATGAGCTGAGTCGACATAGACATCCGGTTCGCAAACTATTCCTGCCGCACATACAATCTTCAAGTGATCTCTGCTGACACGTCGCTGCTGCTTCTGCGCGCGCAAAAGACCTAGGGGAACCTTCCCTCTGGCGGATCCTGCTTTACAATACGTACTACACACTTTTGAAAAGAAGAGGGAGCTCCTTGCGCTACACAGCACCGCACAAACATGGCGTCGAGTTCGGACGAAGGCGAGATCATTGAGAATGACGCTGTGGATTTGAAGGCAACTTCACTGCCGAAGAAGTTTGAAGGAAACGGTGTTGACCGTCAAGACAGAACCCGAGGTAGATTCTCGGCCTCCAAATCTCCCGAGCACGACTCCCACCCAAGACACCACACCGCCAGCAACTACAACTCGTCGTCATCGAGACGCAGCCGGTCGCCGCCGCTCCGCGGATTCAAGCGCTCCCGCGACGAGCGTGACTACGCCGGTGGAGACAGAGGAGGACGACAGGACACGCGTCGCTTCCGCGTGCATTACGAGGACGGCCCGCGCGATGATTACCGTCGCAGTCGCGTTTCCTATGAGGACCTAGACCGCCCGCCCTCGCGCGGCTCGAATCTCGCCTACGACGATCACGACAGAGACCGGAGCCGTGAAAGGGACAGGGACAGGGACCGATATCGGGAGCGAGAGAGGGACCGTGACCGTGAGAGGGACAGGTACCCCGACAAGAGAGCGCGTAATCGCACTAGGTCTCCATATCGCCCTCCCCAGCGTAACGAACGCGGGCGCGATGATCGCTATTCAAGAGACAGCGGACGGGATCGCCTCTCGGACTCGTTCCGCGGCTTGAAGTACGAGGATCACCGCGACCGAGACACCCGAAACGGTTACTCGACGAACGGGGGCGCTGTAGGGAAGGATTTCCGTGCTTCCAGAGGAGATGCTAAACCTGTGAAAGACTCTGCAGACCAAAGCAACGGTAGTGCAGGACCATCTCAGAATCAGCCGTACGTTTCCCGGGACAAGTCTTTTGAACCGCGCATGCTGACGTCACCCCATAGAGCTGCACAAGCCGAGCCCGAGCAAGATTTTGAGGAACCCATGGTTGTTGATGAAGAGGCTGAGATTGAACGCCGACGTCGACGCCGAGATGAACTCCTGGCTAAGTCTAGCTCCGCTACACCGCTCCTTGTGCATGCTTTGCATGCCTCAGACAAATCAGCAGTATCTACACCCGCACGCCAGGGCACGCCAGGCGGAGATGTTGATACGCCAATTTCAGGTGAGAAGCCCCCGCCCAGCTACGCTGCTCTCGCTAAGAGTTCAGAAATTGGTTCACCAGCACAAGATGGAAGCTCTCCGGGTACCATAGACATCCTGAACGAGACGGATCTGATGAACACGCATGGAGGTGGTAAAGCTACAGAGGAAGATGGTCCCTCCGCTGCGGACTACGACCCTACAGTGGACATGAAGGAAGACGAGAGGCGTGACGAAAGGCGCCATGGCAATGTCGGCATGCACGGCGAAGCGCTCGAGACCCAGCCCGAAGTCCAGCCTGAAGAGCAACCCGAAGAACCTCCCGCTAAGAAGCCAACCGGTGATGAGGAAGACGATGACTTCGACATGTTCGCCGAGGACTTTGACGATGACAAGTACGCCGCTCCCAAGCCCTCAAAGGTCCTCGCAGTCGACGAATCCAAGGCCTCGCCTGCGCTTGGTCAGTCCAACGGCGCCATCCTCGAAGGCGATGACAAGGACGGATACTACAAGCTTCGCATTGGTGAGATCCTCAACGGGCGCTACCAGGTCCAGTCGGCTCTCGGAAAGGGTATGTTCTCCGGTGTCGCTCGCGCAGTGGACATCACGAACAAAAAGCTCGTTGCTATCAAGATCATGAGAAACAACGACGCGCTGAGAAAGGGTGGATTTACCGAAATCGCCATTCTCCAGAAGCTCAACGACGCTGATCCGGACAACCGTAAACACATCGTCAAGTTTGAGCGGCACTTTGACCACAAGGGTCACCTGTGTATGGCTTTTGAGAACCTCAGTCTCAACCTGCGTGAGGTCTTGAAGAAGTTCGGCAACAACGTCGGCATCAACTTGGTCGCGACTCGGGCATACGCTCATCAGATCTTCATCGGTCTGGCACACATGCGGAAGTGCAGCGTTATCCACGCCGATCTCAAGCCTGACAATATCCTGGTCAGTAACCCCCGGTCTTGGAGCCAGACTTGAAGACAATGCTTACTACTCACAGGTCAACGAAAGTCGTAACGTGTTGAAGATTTGCGATCTGGGAACAGGTATCGACAAATCCGACGCTGCCACGGCGCACAACGAAATCACCCCGTACCTCGTCAGTCGCTTCTACAGAGCACCGGAGATCATTCTCGGAATGCCCTACGACTACAGCATCGATATGTGGTCCATCGGCTGCACTCTGTACGAGTTGTACACAGGCAAGATCCTCTTTGCCGGCGACAGCAACAACCAGATGCTCAAGGCCATCATGGAGATCCGCGGAAAGATCACGCCAAAGTTGTGTAAGCGAGGACAGTTAGCGCCTATGCACTTCGACGAGCAGGGCAACTTCGTGAGCATGGAAAGAGACAAGGTTCTTGGAAAGGTACGTCGTATCGATCGCTGTTTGCTGTTTGCTATTTCCTTGTTGCATACCCTTCCCCTTTCCCCATATTCTCAACGCCTGTGCATACGCATGTTTCATGCCCTCCCCACGCGGCCAAACCACCACACCCGATGCTATTTTTGCAGGACCGAGGAGATTTAGCCTGGAGGCGGAGTGCGGCTGTAAGCGCTGAGCACTGAGGCGCGGCTGCACATGCGTATGCATGTCTCCACTTTGAGCAATCTGGGGCCGGCATCTCAGGCCCGAGCGCCCCGGAACGCGGGCCCCGGTGGCCCACGGCCTGCGCAGGCCACTTCCAATCAACCCTTTTCGGACCGTTCGGACTCGCATGAACTGCTTGGTCCTGGTCCGCAATAGGATACGTTGAGGAGCCAGACGTCAGTCCCATCTTCGGAGGAATGCATACGCGCGTGGAAGCTCGAGCAACACTGTTGTCACGGCCTCACCATCCTCTCTTTTGCCGCCAAAGCTCCTTCGCCCCTGTTTCGTCTCCCTACTCCCGCTCTGCACCTAGGGTCCAACATATTTGCCATCGATTTGTCACCTGTGACAGTTTGCAGCTGGCAGCTGAGGACCCCGCTACCACGCCCCTTCCCTAACCCCTGCACCCTTGTTCGCACTCGTTCTTGTAAATGGACTGAAAGATTGACGAGACTAACATATCTGCGCCTCACAGACAACCGCCAGGGTCCTGCCCGTCGTTAAACCGACGCGTGACCTGCGCACCCGCCTCTTCGCCGCTTCAGCGGGCATGAACGACGCCGAGACCAGGGACCTGAACCACTTCGTCGACCTGCTTGAGCACTGCCTTACGCTGAACCCGGAGAAGCGGATCAAGCCAGCCGACGCGCTGAAGCACCCCTTCTTCACGGCCAGGTCTGCGCCGGCGAAGCGTTAGGTACAGTTGGGTCTTTGTTGGTGCTGATGTCAAGGAAGGCATGGTGGAGAGAGAAGCTATGTATAGTAACGGATCGGGGGAGGGCGTATCTTGTCATTGGGAGAAGGAGAAAAACAGCTATTATTGAGGCGGTGCTACAGGGCTGCATTGGCGGGGCGGGCTTCTAGAGGTTCTAGATGTAGAAGCAATGGCGACATCGAACTCGTGTCCACTCTTGAAGCGCATGTGCTTTGCAGTGTGCATATCACCCGTAAGCTACGAGGCAGCCGTGTTTGAGAGATATCGTGATATGCGGCCTTAACCCGTCTGTTCTTGTGAATGCCCGACGATGTGGCTTCCTTCGCCGGCTTTACTGCTTGGGGCGAGTTGCAGATGCGGAGTGCATTCTAATGAGGTGGTAGACTGGTGTTATCACCCACCCCATATCCTGCGTCGGGGAGAGCGAAGCTCTTGTGGCTGTCTGGATACATTGAGGTTTAACTCTCAGGGGCTCTTGTTTTTCTCCAGGGACACGTCGCCATCCCTACAAGACCCTCCTTCTTTTTCGTCCTTGCCACAATGCTCACGTACCTTTGCTAAACTTGTCGTAGTCGTCGTCAGCTATTTTGACAATGCCCTGATACTATTCATATATTCAGATGATGTGGTGTTTTGATAACGGAAAGGTCTGGATATAACGACCCTACCAGCGTATGTGTTCCGAAGAGATGTTGATCTATCCCTGAGGCAAGATGAACTTTGACCCCCTTACCCTCAATCCAAGAGTCCTGCAGCGACTACAGTAGATAAACCCTTGTGAGTTAATTTCTTCAGACAAGGTGAGCGAACCTCTCCCGTGCGCGGGGCGTCTGTTTCCCACGGCCCCTCAAACGCGGCCTGATGTTGGGAACGGATGAGGATGACACGGGGACTTTGATACTACGAATTTTGGCGGCGAAACATGTAAATGGATGGATATACAGATGAATGGGGGGGGCGTTTGAAGATGTTCGCCCATGGAGGCCTGGTACCTTGTTTTGACAAATATGTTCACGGACAGTGGTGGCTGCCTGTGGGATAAACGCGAATGGATGGAGGCAAGAGCGCTTCGGGTTTTCGGGATGGGAACCGAGGAGAGCGGTCGGTTGATGCGATCCGATGGAGAGAGAGCTGTGCGGCTTGGAGGGAGCCGGAGCTGTGAGTAGGCGTGTGTGCCTGGCCAGCTGATGAGATGGGATATAGGGGTTCTGGTGTTGAGAACCCTGAGGTCTGATCATGATGAGACGCTCGAGAGATGCGTTTGAATGTCAGGATTATCTTCGTCTGTAGGTCGGTGATGCTTCTTGGACAATTTCGGCATGAGGCTTCCGAGGGGTTCATCCGAGTTCACGATAATTACCATCGCCCCTTGAATAGCTTCCCTTTACTACACATACAATCAATTTTTGGCAGCAGGAGATGACCCGCGGACAGGGAAAGTCTATGTCTAAGTGGACCTATGTGATAGAACTGATGCCCGTGAGCTTGTAAGCGCATGCCCCAGCTCTGTTGCTCGACCCCAAGAGTCATCGTGACCAACCTGACGTCTGGCTTTCGGTCTCCTGGTTCTGATCGTGGAGTCCTCTGGGTGTTTACATATTCGCTCATGTAACTCATGTCCACACGCCCGGCGTTGTGTCACTCAACCTGCCGGCATGAGGCACAGTCAACTCGGTCTAGACCACCATGCCGCGCAACGGGGAATCTCAACCCAAGCAATCCTGCCTGGCCTTGTTGGTCACAGCCACCCAACGGTCTCAATGCCAGACCCCCCCGCCCATCGCGCAGCCGACCTACATCACATGAGCAACACGAATGTCTATCTGCACTGGACCATGATCGAACATCCTTGTAGCTTCCATGTACCCAGTGAAAAGACCCCACGACCTACTTCAGGTCGCCGAAGGGAGGGCCACATATGCATCACCGCAAATCCATCGACCCCAAAGTCGTGAATATTGAACCAACATGCACAATGTAGATAGTAATAACAAAACCAAGCACGATCTAAACTCGCACGCAGGCGATACGCCAGACCTCGGAGTCATCTACGCCGCCCACCCCGCATGAAGGAACATAATATGATTCCCGCGGCGAGCTGCATGCAGGAAAACCCCCAACCCCTCGCCGTTGGCTTCCCGGCGTCTAAACCGGCCACGCCCTCCCAATATGCTGTGCTTCGGGGGCCATCGTACGCCAGTCTCTTTCTCTCCGTGAACCCATGAATAGCAGCATCAAGCCCTCCTTCCCACGAGAGCACCGCGTTCAGCTATACGGCAAGCCGTTCTTGTCCAGAACGTTGGTTCCCTAACGCATCCGCATATGACAGATCCCTGACTAGCACGCTCCGGCTGCAGCCTGGACGCGAGGCTGACGTGCTTAAAGGATTCGCAAGCTACGGCACGCAAGCTCGCGCCCCAGAAAATGACAAACAAGCCGTCTCCCCAAATTTCCCAACGGCTGCCGCTGCTGCCTTGTTCCAGCCGAGGGGCACGAACAAGATCATGTTTGCCTGGTCGCTGCATACGTACGTGTTTGCCTCCGTTCCAACCTCCCGGGTTCCAGAGAGCTAGCGAGGCGGTAACCCATCCAGTCGTCCGGCCGTTGGGGGCAGCCCCATCTACTTTTATCACGTACACAAAGAGGGAACGGACGGGCGGCCTCGATGTTGGCCCGCGTCGAGATTGGGGTGCAGCTTTCAGGTGAGTGTTCCCCGCGGCAGGATTCAGGTGTGAGGCACCGTATACACACGCGTTGATTGCGGTTACACGAGGGGGAGGATGACGGGCGCGTCGAGGATCTTGGATGGTTGGGTGCAGTAGATTGGCTCAGCTTCTATTCAATGTGCATCCATTGTCCTTTACGATCCCATCGGGTGTGGTCACAAGTCTAAGTGCGTAGTTGTGAATGCCCTTAGGAAAAAAACCTGAGCATCCCATCAAAGCGAACTATTTCGCCGTATCCTCTCTAGACGAGGCAGATTGCGCAAATTACGCTCTATGAATTCTTGAGGCAAAAAGACCACAAAAGGCCATCATGTAGCACAATGCGGCGCCCGACGACGGGAGTCGCAGGACGGTGTGGGAATGCAAGTTCCCGATTGCTAGGGGTCCACGACGGCAACACGACCGTAGCCTTGTTTTTGCTCTCATCCACTCCCAATTCGAACAGCGGGTAATTGGTTGGCTGAGGCAAAGCTGAAGCTGGGCACGAGGGGATCAGCATTGCCGTTGTCGTACTGCGCCGGACGGCCGCCTCGCAGTGCAGGCAGTGGTACGATGCGGGTGGCCGATGGGATGGCAGTGGATGGGTTGTTCGTGTGCAACGGCCGGCCTTGATCGGTGGTCTGGTTCCGGGAGCGCCGAACGGAGCCAGGCGGGGAAGGGGTTCAACTCTCCTACATGCGTTTAATCAACTGAGTAGCAGCACACGGGACGCCGGGGGTCCGCCGCCGTTGGAGACGAGACGGCTCGCCTTACATCCTGAGTTAATTCTCGGGGGTGTCCTCAGTCCTGACTCTGCCGCCCTGCCCTGCCCTGCCCTGTGCAAAGTGCGCTGTTAGGCGTCGCCGGTGATTAAACAAGATGCAATATCCACGGACGATCGTCGTTGGTCGAGGCGGGCGCCTTTCCCAGAGGCATTTCCCTGACGCTGTGACTTTTGATTGCTTCGTGCCAGAACGTGACTGGCTGAACATGATTAAGTTTAGGGCATCGCGGGGCAGTTGGGCGGGCTGGCGCAATGAGGGATGCAACATGCGATTGCAACTCTTCCGGTTGGCTCGACCGCGTAGACCCTGAAGGTACCTGGTCCAAGATTTTGGAGAGCATTTGCCCGGTTTCCAAGAAAAGAATGTGCAGATCATCTCAAGCTTGCATCGTGGCCCATTCGCAGAGTGAAGCGAGTGACGATCCCTCGTCAGAGGTGTCGCTGGTCCCTTGAGGGGGGTTAGGCACTTAGTAAGGGGTGAAAGAGAGTCCCTTGGAATGTAACATGTTGGGGCTTGGCTTCGGACCCTGAAGGGATTCTCTCTCTGGCGTCACGCCAATTTCCCATCTCACGTTATTGGTGTCTCGGGAGAGGACGACAATGACAGACCTCGAGACCCAGACGGCCGTTGTGACCACGCTTGACGCAAGGGATGAGGTCATGCGGACGGCCCTGGCGCGCACCGTAGTGCGCCGCGCGCCGTTCGTAGGGCTTTCTTAGCTTCCCGATTGTTGATGTTGACGGGCTGAGGCGCGCCGTCCTCATGGATCGGAAGGATTTTCTGGAACGGCGGTTTGAGCGCCGTTTGTTGATGGACTTTGACATAATCACAGACCGGTGAACATGCGCGGCGCCTAAGGTGGGACGCAACGATCTGCGCGGGATGGATCCAATGATGGATTGACGGCCGTCCGAAGGCGCTGGGTGTCGAGACACTGGCACGACTGTCCGGTTCATGGGCCGGTCGAATCGCGGGAGTTGGCGAGCAGATGCTTTCCATCTTCAGTTGGTTCCTGTGAATCCCAGCGGGTCGGTGATGCAGGGTATGAGATCACGGCGAGAGCGAAGATCCTCTAACCATCGAGATGCCTTCCTCCAATCCCTCCTTCCCTCTTTGTCGTTCGTCCACACAACACGGTAGGCCCGTCGTCGCATCAGCTCCTGGGGGTGTTCTCATCAACTGATAGACAACGGGTGGACAATGCGAATCCCACGCATGTCCATCAAGCGAACGCATGTATTCGGATCTGCGAACCAGCCCGAGTGCCAGTGATGCGATATTTACGCCAAGTTGATGATGACTCGCACGATGATCGATGCTCCTCGTCATGCCCAATGTTGCATCGTCACCCCATTGCCTCTCATCGCATCCCAAACGGTCCTGAGGGAGCTTCTCACATTGAGCCGTGCCTCACGTATACGAGGGCGGTGTGGAGTTTTGCGAGGCTGTGTCCTTGATGTTTGAATCGCCAACATTGATTGTTATCCCCTTT